AAAATAGACACGCGAAACTTTAGACCATTTTTTAATATAACGCAAAAGAATAAACACACGAGGTAAGTTATTCCAAGTCTTCAGGGGTACAAGGTTAGTTATTCCAAGTCTTCACGGCAACTAGAAATTCATATTATAATAACAAATTGAGCTTAATATATAACATAAGGATCCTTTCGAACCTTTTCTCTCGTCTTTAAAAACATAGAGGCCTTTAGACTTCCATAGTCGAATAAGGTGGGAACAACAATACGACTTCGATTGTGAGAGCCAGCTTACAAAGGAATAAAACGTATACCCATAGTAAAAAGACATTATTTATTAGGCATTAAACTAGATTTTTCTAAAAGGAGCCGAGAATCTCGTTCAAAAAATGACGCAAAGATGTTGACTGATGCTGTCATGTCCGTGTTTTTAAAAGCACATCATAAGTGTATCATTCCTGTAGCACGTTAAATCACAACGAATAATCTGTTGGCAAAGATACTTTGACATTATTTTAAGCTGACACTTTCTTATCACCTTTTGGGTTATGTCTTTATTTGATATTATTTGAACAAATGCGTTTCAAGCCCATTTGCGTTAATGAAATGTTCTTATCCGTCTACCGTAATGTAGATCTGTCGTAAGCTGGTCAATCAAGGTTATGGGGTCAGCCTGAGGGTAGCCAGATTTGGCTGATTCACTCTGAGTATCAATAGCCCTAATTCAAACAGAAATATTCCTGTGAAAATTGTTGGCGACGATGTGGTATTTTTGTGCCTGCAGAAAGACACAAGCCATGCTTGAGGCCAAAGATTAGTGATTATGGATGGCCATAGATCAAGATTTCGTGTGATGATAAAACTAATCCTTTACACAAGCGTTGTTGCTTTCGTCGTTATCCTTTCAGGCAGGCTGTAGGACACGATTTATCGTCTTAAAAAGTTCGACTTAAAAGGGGTGAATTCTTTGCTAGTCCAAAAATGCACAAAAAAGTGACAATTTAGCAGCATTGTGAACAAATAAAGAATATATTTTTGCAATTGTTTGTTTTAAGCTAGAAGCCTTCAGGTCTTTCTGTTAACAACAACGGCGATCATAAAGGGGTTTTAATTCAGTATGAATGTTTCCAGTAATGCGGAGGAGGGGTAGAAAAGACTAACCATTTGGTTGCTTTTAGCACTCCTACATTGAGAGGGCGGCTACATTTTAGAACTTCTCGTAGATGCTGAATTCTGCTGGACCGCTTGTAACATAGACACTAGCAAGAATAGTATCAAACAACATAAAATTGCAACATACGTTGATTTAAATAAGTCTAGGGGTGAAGCTTGCAGCCTGCACTATTCTTCTGTCCAATAAACTTAGCTGCTGAGAAATGGGAATGGGTTGAAGAAGTGCTTTAATCTTCGCTAATTCACTGACCTTTCAAATGTTTCTCAACTACTGGCCATTCACTCTTTCTGGACATTTCTGGACTTTAATCCCTTCTAAATGAAGCTTGACCTCTATTTCATTTAAACCGTCTTCATATGCTCAAAAGTAACCACACCTGATTTACATAAGTCCAGGTAATATTTTGCTTTCCGGAAATTAAGAGTGCGAATGTCAAATTTGGTCTCCAATTACCAGGTGCTATTTTTTAAATTCGTATTTGATTAAACGGCTTTGGTATTAAAGCATCGACTAATCGAGCAGTCGCTTGATGGATGTAGTTACTAAAAGTTGAAACATACTTTTTTAATTTGTTTAATTTCATACGCTTCCGAATTACTTTGGATGGGTTACAATTAATATGTAAGAGCATTATCAAAATCCAACAAAAAAGTAATAAAGGAGACAAAGATCCTCTGGAGCACCTTCCATAGTGTAGAGTCAAAAAATGTAGAGGGGGGTGTGGACTACATAGCGTTTTCTCTAAAATGTATTTAAAATGAATGTTTCGATTGTTTTTGTTTGCATGCCTCCTCAACAGGGCCGTGGCGTGGCAAACCTTGCTGGGGGGAGGGGGTGTGGACTACGAATATACCTGATTAAAAAATAATTACCGGAAATTCTTTAGTTGCTGACACAAACCTCTGTGGTTTATCATTCGCAACATCCATTTAAATGATAATAACAGACTTTGTAATAGTTATTTCAAAACTGTATATCGGGACAGGCAAATGAAGTAGTTGCCGCCGACGAAGGAGGAGGACATTTTCGAATTTTGATGCTTCTAGTTCCATTAAAAATTCACTCTTTACTAAAGCAATCCTCCTAATCCTATCGAAAAGTCTAATTTTTGCAAGCAAATTGAACAACAGTTAAAAAATGACTAGTAAAAATCTGGAGCTCATTGTTTATTGCAGTTGATGCTTCTACTGAGAAACTTTAGGAGAAATGGACACAAGGCACAATTTTACCTAAAGAGGGCCTGGACTTTTAGATTTAGTGCCAACAAGCAATCTTCCATTAGCAATATCAAGGAATATCACACTTTAACCAACGGAGTAACTCCCTTTGCTTGATGTTTCATTGATTTTAAGACATGCATATCTCTGAACTACCGAAAACGTTTCTTCCACCGAGCGCATTTTGCCTGAAATTTCCTACTGGGATATTATTGGGGTGTGAGCTTAAGCCTTTTTGCAAAAAATGCCCCCCCCCCACTTTTTGCAAAAAATGCCAAAAATTAAGTACCAAACTACCAGAAAAGCCTCTTTTTATACGGTTTTAGTCCCCTACTTTTTTTAGCCCCCCCATTTTTCTCAACGCTCCGCGGTGCCTGCACACCCATGGTCGTGACGCCCCTGGGTCCTCAATATCAATTTCTTTCCATTTTTAGGGTTAAATCATCTTCCAATGTCTACCTGTTACTTGAATTGAACAATTTCAAAAATAAAGAATTTGACGAAGTAAATTTTGCTTTCAGTTATCAAGAGAGCTATTGAGGTCGCACATGAATGCAATGCAAATGTAAAAAAGTAATATCGGTTTAATCAAAGACTTGATCCTGGCAGAAATTAGCAACGATATTTCAGAACTACCCTGAAAAAAGAGGAGGGGCAGCCCCCCTGAGACCCCCTCTTCTACAGCCCTGCTTATGTAGACCTCCTCATCATTTTACGATAACCCCTACAAGTGGGTAATAACACTTGTCTCTATTCTAATGCAGCCCCTCTAGTGGTCCTGTTAAAAAGTTGCTCTCGCCCACCAACTAACTGTTGTCATTTTCAAGTAAACAAATAGCTATAATAATGATATTTCATGGAAATCACAGCTTGATTGTGAAAATCATTCGAAAATCATGGAAAACGATGAAAAATTAGCTCAATTCGTGGCTGTCTGCATATTTGTCACAGCTAAATATGAAAACAGAATTTGTAGATATGAAAGCTTTTACTGAAATATCACTCAAAGTACCAACAAAATAGATTACAGTCGTTGATCACCAATGGTACGTAAACAGATCCAGGAATAGCTGAAACGTCATACACGTGTCACCCTGATAAGGCTTTAAAGCTTCTAAATGTCAAATACTTATATGCCAGAAGGGACATTCAAAAGAGATCCACTGGCGCAAATCCGAAAGTACTTTCTTCTCTTGTAAAGGAATTATATCCATAGAATGAATGGAAATAGTTCTCTTATTAGTTACTTCTTTTCTTCTTTATCCACGGTTATTAGGGGTTTAAGAAAGGTCTTGTGTATCAAGGTTACTTTCTCTTTGGCACATGGTCTATGTTCGCATGTCAACACCTGTATTATTTAGGATAAATTACGCGAAGCAATCAACTTTCTGATATGGTGTTAAAAGTTCACATTCAACATTTGAATATCAACTCTCGAAATAATAAAAACTTTTAGAGATAAATTTACTTCAATATCTTCCATTGTTTGCAGAAATGCGAACGAGATCAGGACACTTTAAGATTTGGACTGTTAGCACAACACACCTACAATGTCTAACATTATCACTATAAATGCTTATAATTTTTCAAATTTAGTGATAAAAAATGCTGAAATCTTATACGAAAAGACCGGTGTTTCTAAATGGCTTTTAAATATGCAAAATCTTTGTTTAAACTATGCAAAATCATTTTTCATTTCTGAAAATTAAGTCATAAAAGCTGAAGAAAAATCCTACAGAATCTCTCGACAGCATGTATTTACTCTTTAATTCAGCAAGTTTTTCAGCATAAACGAAACTACACATTTGAAGAGTTTTAGATAGAATCAAATATGGGGTTATATTATCAGTAACAAAATAATCATAAATTTCAAACTACAATTTTCACAGCATCCTTTATAACATTGGATTATAGTGCTTTGATACTATTTTATAGCTGATTTGATATTGACCGAAAACATACGCTTTCTCTTGAGTTTTCAAGACATGACTCGGTAGTCTGTTTGCAAAACACGAAGAAACCATTCCGTGATGTATTAATGCTCAGGAAAACTAGGGAAAAGTCATTAGAGAGGTGGAAAAAGTACGCGAAGCCTTGAAGTAGCTTCTCGGGAAGCTAGGCTGTCAAGAAGGAAGGACAAGAGGAAGGAAAGAAGAAATAAGAAAGAAAAGGAGTGAAAAAGAGAGAGGGAAAAGGAAGAAAAAGGTAGGTCAGAAAGAAAAAGAAGAGTAATGTGAAGGACTGGAGGAAAATAAAAGGGTAAGAAAGGAGTAAGATAAAGGGGGGGGGGGAGGGACAAAATTTTTCAAAATCGGTTGACCAAGAAAATTTCGCAAAATTTACAAAGGTTCAATAAACGAGTTAATCATTTGGCTTTCTGAAAGTCTTCTAAATAACCAAAAAGTAGCGCCTTGAAGAAAGTGTAAAACTCTTAATAAACTGACAAAACTTTGTTTATTAGCTTTTGGAAACAATTTGCTATAGAAACTGGTAAAACCATAGCATGAATAATTTGAGTTTAAAGTTACTTCGCAGGAAGGTAGAATTTTTCCACCACTTAGCAATTAGCAAGAAAAATTGTTCTTTAACCCTATTCAGGTTATGGTACACAAAATGATGCACAAGTTAGGATATCTACTTGACATTGCTAATCATAAAATCGTTTCCATGTTCATAAAATCTTGATTAGGGCTCTGCAAAAACTTCATTCAAACAACATTAAACAAATCAAGATTTTAACAGTCTAACACTTGATATCAACAGCGTTCCTTAAATATCAAATCTTAACAGTGTTTTTCAGAATAGACACAAAAACAATTAAGGGCTCACAAATATCCACATTCAGGGCAATATTCTGGCAAAAACTTCTCTAGCCAACCAGCATCCCTCTGAAAGTCACATGATAAGATCATCACAACCAAGAGAGGTTTAGTTTTCGAATTGAGGCTAGCTTGCTTGATATAATCGTCCCAAGAATCAAGGCTGACAGGACACCCGATATGAAAATATAATCAAAATCTTCCTTCAGTACATCGAATTTTCGTGACGGGGTGACGCGGGTGAAATACAAATCAAGGCCATATGCAAGAACAAGCGATGTTGATTCTAAACCAGCCGCAGCCGTGTGAATTCCACGGACCTTGTCAACTGGAAACAAAAACATGGACGATTCATTTACAGTGATTTAAAATAAAACCAATTACAGTGCTTCTACCTCTTAGCCTGGCACATTGCCAAATCGTCCGATCACGAGACCGAAATAATTCACAAATCCCATTGGATGAAAAGCGGAATACGATAGAGTCTTCTCAAGACGGTTGCAATTTGCTATTTCTTTCCTTCTTATAATTTTTTGCCCTACAATATTTCAAGGTCGATTATTTTCGTAACTAAACGGGGTGGACTCTCTCCTTAAGAAATTCCCCTTATCACAACTTCGCAGTTGCCAAAACAAGTATTTTATCAATTTGATAATGTTGTAGCTATTTCTAGTAAAATGAATTTTCGAGGATTTCAAAAAAGAAGATGTCAAATGGAGGGTTTCAAAACAAATTGAAATGATTTAACTATTAGATTTAAAGGCATGGTTTTAAGCACTAATTTCTAGGATTTGTAAAGTGCTCGTTGGGGAAAGCATGGAATTAAGGATAAATCATTACAGGATACAACCGAGACTTATCATGACACATTTGATTATTTCACTCTGCTTCATGGCTTGTTCTTTATCTTGCATCTTCGAAAATGCAAAGGATCAGAATTCTGTCAGGCTTTATGCACATCTGCCTTTAAAATGTTTTCAATACAGTTTCACTTAAGCAAGATATTTGACAAAGTAATAACAGAAAGCCATCAGAACTGTATAAAGAAACCTCAGGAAATACTAAGCAGACAATCTACCGAAGTGACAATGACGTTTCAGAGATGATCGAATAGATGCAAGTGTACAAAGTCGAATATACTTTTTGATGATTGTTCCATTCTGATTTCTGCTCACTAGTATTCTAATAAAGGCCACTTATCGACACGATCCCATGCGCTTATAAACTGCACCGTTTTGTGATGGAATATATCAATTGAAATGTAGTACTAAAGAGGCAAAGGCTGGCCAAAACAAAGATAACGAGAATACCTGTTTTGTTGTAGTTGATGTATCCCATTGGGTGGAGGGGTACCTCGGGGACATATGGCATGAGGCCCTCCTCTGCAAGCTCTGCTGTCTGCTCAAACGTTCTTCTAGGATCTAGCATGTTTTTGGGAATCGTGTAGATGTACCCACTTTCGAGAGCAAGCAGCAAGTTCTTGTGTGTGATGCCCCGCTCTGTATTGGTTACTGCCATTGAGCTAACGTGGGTTACTGAGAGAAGGTAGCCTTGTGACAAGATAAGTGGTTGGTCTAAAGAGTCCAGAGATGAGAATGCCGTACTAAAAGGAACAAGATGATGCAAGGTGGATAACATCATTAAAACAACCTGTCTTAGGCTAGAAGCAAGTCTGCATATTGCAACAAACAGGCATCTTTTATCAGCCTGCAGCACCCTAAGGTGGGTATTGTCACCCCTCTTCTTTAAAGGCTAATAGTCTAACTCGCTTTGACCAATTGAAAAATTGATTTTTATCAGCCTCTGTACAGTCAGTCATAAATGCAGAGAAAAGTCACTAGTTCAGATTGAATGTAATGAAACAGGATTCTAAGAAAAATTCAATTAGAAAACAGTTTTGTAGGCAACATTCGGGGTTTCAATTTAGGTCTAAGTAGTTGGGTGTCAGGAGGCTTATGAACGAGAAAATTTTTGGTGAACACCCTTTGAAAATCCGGGAAAAATTCTTAAAGTACTTCTTACGGCCTGTAAACTCTCTCCCACCCCCGCACCAAATGTTTCTCGTCAAAGTTAGAAAAATTACATAGATGATACTTGTTGATCCTTCGAGGTATACAAATGTTTCGGTTTTTGGAAACTATGGATTGTAACTAGCTTCACACTATGAGTAGAGCTAAATTGACTAAACAAAAAACATTGGATGAAGGAAAATCAAGAGGTAGAAATACAGGAACAGTCATTCTCAATTGAGAAAAAAAGTTCCTTTTTTCACTTGATACAAACACTTTACCTGTTCCTTTCCTCAAATCCTTCAAACATCTCAATGACAGACATTTCTGTCCTCCTTGCTTTCACATTGTAGTATAAATAGACAAGCCAGTTTTCAGACAGCACCATTTGTACAGGGCCTTTAGCACTGCGATGTCTTGCTTGATAAACAACTTGGCCTTTGGGAGGAAAATTGAAACAATTAGAAAAATCATAGTATAAATCAGTTAAAAATACATTGCATCCCCAAATCATCTATTATGGAAACATAGTATTGCACATTGGAAGGTAATTGCTTAGAAATTCTTAAGCAGCGGGCATTGGACACAACATTATCTCAGCATAAGAAGAGAGGGTACTCTAGAGGTGGCAGTAGGAACAATGTAAAGAGATTGATACAGAAACAGGACTGCCTCCTTTGAAGGCTAGCAGGGATTGATAAAGCACTGATCAATAACCTTTCAGGGTAAGTAACGAGACCAGCAATTGGCTAGGAGTCTAATAATGGACAGTGATGTAACAGATGACATTTATGTAGACATAGATAAAGAATAACGACATTAGTCAACGTATTTATGGATATCAAACAGGATATCAGATCTGTAGCCGACGCTGAAGTCAAGGGTACTGGCATTGATCTGATTACAGACAGAAATTGAAAGAAAAGAAAAATGATCACTTGAGCAGTAAAAGAGAAATCTTCAATTATCTTAAACCAATTCGAAGCATAGTGTACATCAAAGGAGACACTATTAAAAGTGACAAAAGACAGGGTATCAGCACAAAGCTCTACATCTAATCAAAATACCAAACCGAGATCGACTTAACATTAACAAATGTCCTTCTTTTGAGATTCTCATACCACAAAATACGTTATGAACATAGTGCATCGACCGCATTGAAACGTGAGCTCACATAATGCAGCTGATAAAGAAATTTGCTGGCCACTGTTTCAATTACGAGACATTATATTGTCAGTTTCATTTCGCTTTTTGTCTGTAAGCAGACCTCAAAGACAGTTACTCAAAAAGGATTTTCTACTGTGGGCAACGAGTAGAAGAAGAGCTGAGGGTGAAAAAGCAATGGCGTTCCTTCTCAATTACTGAAAATTCATGCTTGTGAATCTGAAAACTGTATTCCTTTATCTTATCTAATTCTTACATCTCACACAGATACCTTAAACTCTGAAAGATGCTATGTAGAAAATATCAAATAAATATCTTTATTGAATATCTTTATTGAAATCTAAATATCTTGTTTGCTTTTAATTACTGACCCCAATTTTAATCTATCAATCAGATGTCTCACATTTAAGGAAAAGTGAAAAGAGGTAAGAATTAAAAGGCGATGTCATTCTATCTACAATGTCATTCTCTCTCTAAAGTCCTCCTCGAAGCTTAATACAAAAATTGGAGATTTTTAATAAGAAAGGCATACATATCTAGGACAACCTTTAATTCTTAGACAGAAGTTTTTAAAAGACAAGACTGTAAAATTCAAAAGTAAAGAACACCAATAAAAGGTAAATTAATATTGCCTCGGCAACATACCTGTTACACCATCGACAATATAAATGAAGGTGGACGGTTTTTGGGCAACATCAGACACAGCAGCAAATGCGATCAGATTCGGGTTCAGGTACTTGTACAACACGCTTCTATCTCCAAGAACCCTTCCAACAGAGTGAACGTGTTCATCTAGTCTTTTGTAGGCTAAAGAAAAAAGAATTACCATGTAAGTTCAGTAAAATATTAAAACACTTTTATTAACAAAGATAGCAAGTAATAATGGGAAAAATTAGATGATATCTTTAAAAGTGAGCAGACTTTGAAACATAGCTAGTGTCTCAATCGATTAAGATTTTTTCCCGAAACTCTTAAAAGGCATCGGAAGCAAAAATACCGGGAGACCCACTGGAAAAGTATCGAGATCTGGAATATTCGTGTGAAGAGCATTCAAAAAACAGGAAACTTTGATACACAAGAGGAAAGTTAAAATGGCCAGCTGATAACTTTAGCATAGGCATAATGATGGCTCTCGTTCTTCTTAATTAGTTTCTAACATATCCAAGGGTAAGTTGTTGGAGCTGTCTTCTGCAAGTCAAATTTTGATGAAAGCTTTTGAAATAAAGAAGCCCTAATTTCCTTAATGAAGCTCCGGGTCGGACATAAGCTGTTTTATTGCTAAAGAAATGTAACCTGATTTCACGGCATAATCCGGAGAAGAAGCTTTAAATCCGCCCGGTATGCTAATTTCAATTTCTTGAACATTCATCCTTTTCTACTTGTTCCAAATCCTGTCATCATTACTTACGGAAATCTCTTCTGTGTATTTCACATATCAGAGACAACGAGAATGAACCGTTGTGCTTTGGAGACCCTCCTGTGGCCATAGAGGTACCGAAATGTCCATGGGATTATCCGAACAGTCGCAAAGATTTAATAACTTAAAAACAAGACATGTCAAACAAAAAATAGATTGGATTAACAATATGCATGACAGCTTAGTCTCTTTGCCTTTTAGCGATGGAGATAAAAACTAACTTGCCGAGAATAAATTGAACACGAAGAAAGGTAGAGGAAAAGATGGCTTAAGAAAGTCAAAAAGTTAATTAGAGCAAGAAAAGTTAAATTGCAGTTCCAAGATAAGGCTAGTCCTTCTGGTGTCTTCAAACTTTTTCTGGGTGAAAATAAAACTTGAAGAAAAATTAAAACTATATTTTTTTGGATTTGCATTTTAGATAATTCAAAAGTTTGATTTGCTATCCTTGATTTTTCACTTAACGTTTATTTGCTTTAATAAGAGCAAGGTATATTAATATTAAACAATTCAAACAAGAAAGTGTCATAATTTAGGTTACAAAAAGTGCCAATCAATACGTTAGCCTAGCTTTTTGCTATCTGGCAAAATTTCAAAAGCCAGAAGGGAAATGTCCCTGACCAATCACTGACCAATTCATCAAACTCTGAACATAGTCTGAACAAAATGCACGACTTGTGTTTAGTAGTTAAAATTTTCTTATGCCAAAAGCAGGGTCCTGAGCTGACAGGGGCCTTAACAACTTAGGATAAGATATTAAGCGTAGCCTCAATCAGGTTGTGCTTAAAATTTCATTAGGTTTTCTTATATAAACAAGCCCAAAATACAAATTCAACTGAAACAAATAGGCTATGATGACGTCACAGAGGGCTCTTTAGTATAGGACCTTCATGTATCTTTGTACTTTAATTTTTTTAGGATGTAACCTTAAGATAGAACGCGAATGAAGATGATTTCATGTCTTTCGTCGCCATGATTGTCACAGCGGAATTCATTTTTACTTTTTTAACTACAATTTGTTATTTTTAATTGAAAAGAAAAAAAGCTCCTGGAACTCGAAAAAATTTTAAAAAAAAAGGTTGCGTTGCCTTACCGATCTTCTTGATATTTTGGTCATCCGGAAACTTGACAGACCAGGCCTCGTTAACACTGGCTGCTCCGTGCCCGTTGCCATTCTCATCCTTGAGGATGTAGCCCTTGACCGTGTTTGTTGCGTGGTCGATAAGGTGTAGGTAAATTGAGCTGATTTTCTCACGTAAATGGGCCACTGACTCGTATGTTTCTGGGAAAATATGTAGCTTCAAATTGTCATCAACTAGAAGGATGGCTTTTGAAAACTTTTCATCTAAAATAAAAACAATCATGGTTACAACGATATATGGTTGCTATGTACTTGGCAACACAACTATAAATACAGCTATAGACATCAACCATTCTTTATCTTGTCTTGAAAAATACTTAAGTTTAAGTTTCATATGATGCAAAATCAAGGCATTGAAAAACGGAAAGTTCGATGAGCAAATCACTCCAAGAAAATCTCGTACACCTTTTGTGAAAATCCTATTGTTTTATCTGAAAATCCCTGGAAATCCTTTTGTTTTAGGGAAAATCTCGTAAGCTATTTGCAAGAGTGAATTGTCCCTCGGGAAAGTTTGCATTGGCGACAAAAAAACGGCTTACAAAGTGGAGGCATTAACAACGCACCTATTACCGCATTATTGTGAACACAGACTTTTGAAAATGCGCGAGGGTGCACGTTGGATTACTGGGTGAAGTATCGCCATTTGAAGTTTGCTAATGGATAACTGTTATTTCTGTTTTGTTCATAATATTGTAAACACTGACCAAATTATTTCGATTTGATGAAGAAAAAGCTCGTACGTATGTGGCGATATCTCAGCCAATTCCAAACACAATTGGCCGATTCAGTACATTTAGAATTATTTCATGATGCTCTTTCAAGTTATATGATCAAAATTTGAAACTTTTTTGATTTTTTGACGTCATAACATTAGAGATCTATAGAGGCAAGGATAAGCAGTAACGATACCTGTTAATGGCAGTAAAGAAACCTGCACAATATCATATGGGAAGACAAGGCCATCTGGGTATCGTTTGTCCGCTGGTTTTCCAGTTAGGGGGTTGAATGCATACAGCAGGGTTCCTGTGCCAGATTTCTTCTTTCCCACCGCTACACACTGGGGTGGAAGAGGAAAATGAGCCGTGCCCCTCTGAACAAACAGCATGGTTCGTTCTCCATCTTGCAAGTGGTAGGGTGAAAAGTCCGGCAAGAATCGACTCCAGATTATGCTTCCCTCTGTCGAGCAAACAGAATGAGGTTTAGAATTTAAATCAAGACAAGTTGCAACAAAAGAGATTATAGAATTTTAAGGTTATGCATATGTCTGATATACGGTGGATGGAAAAACGCAATTCGTGAAAAGGTGTTTTAAGAAGCTATATAAAAAAGAAATTGTAAAATGGGCAAATGAAGGAATTTAAGTTTAGGAAGTCATTTTTACTAGACGTGATTATACCCGGAAACCGTGTATTGCAAACACAGGGACGCCGGAGCAAACAGGGAGGCTCTAAACAAATTGGTAACCAAGTATGGAGGTTTGCCATCACATCTTTTATGTTAATAACATACATCAGGGAGAAAGTGGAGGGAGCCCCCAGCTCCGGCGTGCCTGAAACAGGCTCCCATTAATTCTTTAAATGGTAGACTGGGAGAGGCAGGGATTTGTCTTTTGTAGAACATTTTAAAATTACCGTACATCGTATAAGGTCCACTATAAACGCAACTTACAGCCTATGCTAATTCAGGTTCCACCCATGTTATTAAAAGTGGCCAAGAAACATAATATATATACGGTAATTACAAAAGCAAACGTGGTGGTTTTTCGATCTCGTTAGAGGAGCTATATTGGCACCACAATGAGAAGATCATGGAACTAAAGATTGAAACGCCCACGACTATTTTGCTAATAAAATATTGTCTGCAATATCACGATTAAAATTACATAACATGTCAAATGCTTTCAAATACTTCTTGAATAAGTTCTGCTAAATATCAAGGATCCTTCATTTCAATCCCACCCTCATTTTATTCAAAAATGCTGAAAAAAATTTTGTTACTGACTTCTGACTTCTTTAGACAATATGGTTCTAAGGGAATGGGTACAACATACGTCACTTTGGCTTTTATACCAAACAGCATTTTGCTTACTAATGGTTCTACTGTTTTTCATGGACGTTGAGATCTTATCAAATGAAACCGTGCTGTTAACTTTTAACTGAAAACCGTGCGGGTTTCTATCCTTGGCTAACCAGACACTATCTCATGCCTGATAATGTATGGTTATAATTATCTACCAACCATACTACCAAGGTTAGAAACATCTGCAATTTCCGCTCTATACCTTTACCAATAACGAGTTGTAGAAATGCTTCCCCTTTTTTTTCTATAAAACTGCACGAATTTTCATAATATTAAGAAATGCTGCTAGAAAATGCTTGCAAAAATAAGGATTAATGAGTTGGTTGACATTTGTCTTAACTAGACAGCAGGTTTTAAAAAGAACTACAGAGAACTTTTAAATCTTCAACTACGGGAACTGTGACTTATGTCCAAGAAGTCAAACGTACACCTATTTTAGTATCAGAGATACCAATATTGAATAAGGGGGAGGGTGGTATAAATCTCAACACCGTCTGTCCAGGATTGTATTTCATTCCTTCCATGATAGTTAGTGATCCGAGAAGACATAATAAGGATTCGACATTCCAGTTAACACATCTTCGTAACCCGTTGTATTAAGAGTAGAAAGTTTCGATAGGATTTCCTATCATCTTCAGCTAAGAAGTTAGTGCGAAAATTCACTTAAAAATGCTTTCTGTGTCTCTTGCTTACAGTACTGATCTCGCTACAATACAATACCAATATTCAGAAGATAGCAAAATTGAGGAAGAAACGAAACAATTCCTACCTAGTATGACCATAGATAGAAAACTAGGTTTAATCACGCATTGCAAGAGAGTCTTTCGGCAAGGTTGAAGTAAGGGTTAAATGGATTCAGATTGTGATGTAAATAAAAGAGTTTTTGTACCAAGACACTTTGACACAAGTCAAAAAGATATTACGGAGAAGGTTAACAAAGCATCTTCTAATTTGACATTTTAATAGTGTCTGCAATATTAAAACCAGCCTAATGACAACCACATGATCATTACTGGCAAATTGCGGTGGAATAGCTAGACTTGTATGATGTCATAGTAAGAAATCAAGACTTTAAAATGTTAATCATATCGCCACTCTTTAGTTTAAGATTTTTACCTAATTAGCAGCTTGTGATGTACGCGTAAATTGAAGGGAAATCTCTAATTCTAAGCCTTGTACAAACATTCAGATGTGATATTAGAAGGTTCAAATCAGAAAGGTCCAATTTTAAGTCTTGTGTCAAACATTTAGACTTGATATTAGACGGCTCAAATGTTTATGCCTCTTCAAGATCAGTTCAACGTTTTATTTACCAGCCAAACTACCAAGGTTAAAAACATTTCCGCTCTATACCCTTACCAATGAAGAGTTACAGAAATGCTTCCCCTTTCTTTTTTCTTTAAAACTGCTCGGTTTTTCTTGATATTAAGAAATGCTGCTAGAAAATGCATGCAAAAATAAGGATTTTTAGTTTAAGACTTTTACCTAATTAGCAATTTGTGATTTACACGTAAATTGAAAGGAAAGCTCTGATTCCAAGCCTTGTACAAACACTTAGATATGATATTAGAAGATTCAAATCAGAAAGTTCCAATTTTAGGTCTTGTGAAAACATTTAGACTTGATGTTAGATGACTCAAATCAGAAGCTCATGTTTTCAATTTAAAATTCTTTGCTTAATCAATCTCTAAGTAATTCGGTTCTGATGACTCTAATAACTTCTACAATAATAGCTTTAGAAAGAAGTGTTTTATTGATTAGGCTGAGACCTGATCTAAGCATGTAATACTCATTTGGTTCGAATTTGAGAAAAGGTTTTATGTGACATTAGCTCTTAATTCTGAAGTTTTGCCAAGAAATGAAAAAAAAGGAAACATCGTATTGTTTTGAAAATTTGCAGGATTTGAAAGATCATTTCAAGAAAACCAAAATCCATATTTAGACAAGGATTTTGTATATGTTTGGCTACTTCTTACTAGTTTCAACATGTCATAAAGCCCCTTGGGATCAATGCGCCCCTGGGTAGAAATGGTTTGAGCCTAGTGAAAACCTAGTCAATCTAAAACGACCCAAAAAGCTGTTTTCAAGGTGAAAACAATGCTTGGTTACCGGAAATTATTTTCAAGGATAACAAACACAATGTTAAGTTTAAGAAATCAGCCAGGAATTGACAGCTTTGACTACAGGCTGAAAATTCAACAGGCTGAAAATTGAACAGCAAGACATTTATGTGGAACATCAGCGCATTTTTTCCATTATGTTAGAAGTGCACACACCTTCTTGGAAACAACTTATCTGAAAATTCTATGAACCCCAACTTCAATCTGGAGGGCAGGAACGAAGAAGACTGATATCTTTTAGCAATTATAAAAGGGAATATTCATGGTATCACTTAGAAGTATTAAGTCTAAAAAATATATCTCAACAATTTCATTGGAACCACTGTTGATAAAAATAAATACTTACTTGTTGTATCCAAGCCAAAAATTTTCCCAGATTCGGTCACTGCAACTATGATTTTGTGAAGCCCAAATTGATCTCTTGTTAGGTCATCGTTGGTTTCTTTTTGGTTGTTGCCTTGATAATCAAATTGCTTTCGCTTCTTCAAACTTGCTGTAAAAACTTCAAGTTGTTTCAGTTGGACTTTAACTCTTCTGATAAACATTGACAGAATTCCAGCTAATAAATCAGATGAAATATTATCATTGAAAAATCCCAACCACTGTTAGAGTTATTGTTATCCATACATAAAAAATATATATTAATTTCAAAACTTTAGAAAAAAAATAAACTGGACGTACCAAAAATGTTATAAAGCAAAAACAAGAATTGCCAAAACATTATTGAGCAATAACAAGATACATAATTCAAAGCAAGAGTAAAAAGGGACAAAACACTTCAGTAAATGGTAAACATGAATTCTGTTAAAAACATGTAGTCTCTATGTGACTGTTCTAAAGTCAAAGTTTTTGGCATTAAAAAAACTATTTTACAGATATTATAGAATACAATTACAATAAGTATACAAAAGAGAGAAAAGTGCTTTTTAAAAATTCATGCATAACACTTTAAAAATTCATGGCAAAAGTTAAGAGGACAGATAATTTTGTTGATATCGGCCAGATGGCCATTAATGATTTAGAGGAAACCATTACAAACTACATCTTTAAGATTACATGATTGTCAATATCTTTCCAAAGTCCTTCAAAAGTCAATATTTTTTCTTTCTTTTGTCCAACACTCAAACAAATAATTTACGAAAACACAACAATATTATATATATACATATATATATAAGATATGAATTGACCTTTTTGATAGAAAAAAATATTCATAAATTATCTAGAAGTTTACAATAGGAGATGGGCAGGGAAAAGTAAGAAGGGGCTGTGTTGTAGAAAACATTAGATCCCAAACAAACACATGACCACATTGAATTTCCATGAATCTGTGTTAGGGAACCTTTTCAGTGCCAAAGGCACTGTTATCAATAAGATTCCTGTTTTAAATAAAATTATTTACATTGTTAAAAATGAAAATGTTAAAAAAGAAAGTTTAAAGAAATAAAAGGTTAAAAATCATTTCTAGTGGCTCTGAAATAAACAAGTTGTTCAGGAAAAGTTTTTTTTAATGATGACTGAATTGAACTATTGATGTTACTTGGCAAATGCCAATGGAGAAGTTGTTGTAGCAAGAAGGCCCTTGGTATCAAAATTGACTATTTTGCAGCTTCTTTACGACTTGTCTTTTTAATTTTTTTGACATATGTTCGCATACAAACAGTCAAATGTTTGAAGTAGATGTTTTTGATGAGGTGCATTAAGTGATCACCTTGAAGGCATCCGTGCACATTGTGCGAAGCTTTTGCATTTTTGGGTGTTTTATGAAAGGAATCAAATAATAATGGTTCTTTCTTCAGTCTTATCACAATATTTTTTGGATAAACAATGGTGATACAAAAAAACAAAGGCCACTTTTACCGCTAGGATACTGCAACTCGCAGGGAGCTGTTTATAGAAATTGGTCGAAATGACACTAAAAAATCTAGTACCCTAATGATGTAAATTATGAGCGAAAAACATTACTAAAGTTTGCAGGAAATTTGAGGAATTTTTCTTAATTTGAACCCTATCAAAAGACTTTCTTTCTTAACAGACAACTCTTAGGCCCAATAAGAATGCACAAAATAACCATCCTAATAGCAAGGTGCTGCAGAATGCATACACTGTGAGTCACCTCTTGCCATGCAATGCGGAAATCAGTTTGCTTCACTGGAACTTGGTATAACCATAGTCTATTTGAGTGATTCTTAAAACTTTATGTTATATGATTCCTGTTACTTACTGAGCAATAATTCAATTACATCCTAGCTTGCAAATAAAAATGTAATGCAGGCAAAACAATCAATAAAACCATACCATTTGGTAGGGCAGCAAATTCTTCATGAAGAAGCTCTAGTTTTGAAGCTGAAGTTGCAGCTGGTAACTCAATCATCTCAACTGATGTGATACCAGCCAATGCCTCCTCTCTCTTCCACAAAATTGATCCTGACTGGTGAAGCAGACATAATGCGTGGTCTTCAAAGGCAATAATCAGTTTATAGCCAAGTTCATTATCTTTCTTTGAAAAAACATAGATTGCTCCAAACTCTGGGGCCCCATGATACCCATCAAGTTTGACATCTTGACTTAGTTTTGTTAATTCTTTGAAGTTACTCAAGTCAAAAATCTGTACCTTCAAATTTACCCCTTCAGGAACAAGGGACACAAGTATATTACTTGAAGATGATGCTGATGATTTTAAATAAGCTTTACTGGGAAATGAATGAACTATAGAAACTGACTTGCTATCTTTGGCTATTTCTATAAGATTCTGGGTTTTATTATCCAAAGCTAAAATGAATTTTTCTTCCTGGAAATTGTCCCCAAGGCTGTTAAGACTTGCTTGTTGTGTCAATTCATCATTATTTAAGGAGCTCAGTGGAATTTCTGACATTCCATCTGCAGACAAACCCAGATCCATCACCATCAGGTTTGAATTCATTACATCAAGACAAACTAGATTTGTCCTTGCTACAAAAATACACTCTATTGAGCTGTGGCTAAGCCATTTAGCTGCCACTGGAACCCTACTCTGAACATTACCAGAGTCAATATCAAGTGTTACTATTTCAAGTATAATCTGGTTCTTCTTTATAAGCACATACAGATTATCACCATCTACAAGCATTGCTAAACATGAGCTATCAGAATAATCACTTTCACTTATATCAGCTTTCCAACTCCACAACACCGACCCATCCCTCAGTCCATGTACACGAACAACATTCCCAAACAAAACTGCAACACCTGGCGTTGAATGAATACCTTTTCTACCAACAAGAGCAGCACCCCATTCTGGCATTCCCTTGATGTCGTTATGATGGCTAGAAACCTTCTGGATTTCACTTACTGCTTCCCATTGCAAATGTCCTTTGTTGGGATCCCAAGATCTAATTCTCTTACCGCATTCTGAGATAGAAATCAACGCGTTTGCATGATGTAGTAATGAATCGACTTTTCCATTCTTTTCTTCAAATACCTTTCGCCATATTATTGAGCCAGTTCGAGCGTTTAAAGCTGCTATTACATTTGAATGAGTCGCCACCCAAGCACGTCTGCTGTTGTGCGAATACTGATCAAAATATGCAAATTTTACTTTACCAACATACTGCTGCCGCCAATCGAATAAATCTACTTGATCTTCATACAAAGCTAGGCATATCTGAATAAAGAATATCAAAATCAAAAGAGCATAAATACTGAAATAACGTGATAATTTCCTCGTCAATTCAGCACCTCCCGCCATTTTCTTACTCCATCTGTGACAAGCAAGCTGTTGTCTCCTTTCCAGTTCCTCGCCTCGATCGGAAGGTAGGCATATCTCAATTCAATTCAATTCAATTCAATTCATGTATATTTTCAACAATAATTAACTGAATACAGTATCAAAATAAAATTTTAATGTTTTAAAGCTACATAAGACAATTATATAAACGAGAAGAATAACAATACACCAATTTACCAGAATATTGCTGAAAGACATACGGAAAGAGCTCTGATAGAGCTTTCGGGCCATATGCCCCCAGTGACGTGTAAAAGATCAAGAACAGTTAATATACATGTATTTAATGCTAAAATATAAGAAAGGGTTTTATGATAAGGATAAAAATTAAGATGAACATTAAGAATATAAGAACAAACTAAATCGATTGTAAAAAAGGGGAAAAGGGGTTAAGGATCATCTTGTATTTTTGGGTGTATTCTTGAAGTAACAATTGTTTAGAAAGACATGAAAAGGTTTTTTTGGAAGTAACACTTTTTATGTTACTTGGTATGTTATTCCAAATGTTTATACCAGCTTTTTTATGAATAAAGATTTGTAGTTTGTTCTAATAAAAGTTACCGCTAGTAGCCTGTCGGGTTCTAATGTTATGACACTCGGTAGTAAGATGAAAGAAGTCACAAAAGTAGCTAGATTGAAATCTCCGAACTGTAAGGAGACTCATAACACAAAATGTATGACAAAACTTATGGAGAGACAGAGTAAATTATGTTAAAAGCTTTCTCCGTTTTAGATTCAAAGAAAACAACATCAGATGAAAAGAAATTACTAGAAAAGATCTTTGATCGATCGAGACAAAATCTAGAGTGAAAGATTACGAGGGTCCCTAACGGGAAGCCTTTCCTTTTTCCGTTTCTTTATTATGAATTAGATTGCAGTTGTTTATTTAGTTTAAATTCATATTGCAAATGGGGTTTTTCACTGTGCCAAATTTAAAACATATATTAATTTCTAAAATGTAACTCTGTATACATGTGTTTAAATTGAAATGAACATTCTCAGCTTTAATTATTCTTATTAGAAGCGTAAATTTGGGACTGTTTTACAGTAAAAAAATCTTGCAAATTTCTTTGATTATTAAAAAACAAGATTGGCCAGAATTAATTTATGAAAACACACTTTGAAGTGCCAGCTGCACTGAAAATTTCACAGGATATATTAATAACAGTATAGGAATAACAGTTTATTCAATCGTTTCTGTATGGAATAGACTGCCAGATAGTATTGTGATGCAGGCAAATTCGGATACCTTTTACAACCTATGTCGAAATCACCTCAGTAAATTTTAAAATTTTAATGTTGTAGTTGACTGGGCAGACATTTGTATGACCCAAAGGGTTGTTAAATGTTAATATAATGATGATGGTGATGATGGAAAAATATAATTTTTGGCAATTGACCCATTTGTACAATTAAGGTTTTGGAAATTTTCTCTCTAAAAATGTTTTAAGACTTTACCTACAGGTAGAATTTTGATATGAATCTTCCATCACTTTTAGCAGAGTGTCTGAATTTTCCGAGGGTATAAAATCTAAATAAATGCAGTGTTTTTAATAAAACCATTATATCTAACAAGCAGTGTTTTTCCTCAAAGCGATGAAGTAGTTGCTGCAGCGAGGGTGGCTTCCAAAGGAAGAGAAGACTACTGAAAGACGCTTATATTTTGACCATGTGAAGTAAGCGAGCATTTCAGACCATTATGATTGTAAAAATAAAGAGCTGAAAGATGGGGACTCGATGACAAACAGAGGGCGCAAACATACTCGTTTAAAATCTCGTTGTGAAAAGTCGAAACGTGATATTCTTTTTGCTTCCATTCATACGAGATTCGATAATTTCTATTAAGGTGATAAGAATTTTTTCCTGTTTATCATAAACACAGGTTAGCCTAGGCATGTTTTCAGCAAATTTGTACACTATCAAAAGGCCACACAATTTTTCTGCTTGAAAGTTTGAAGTCCAATATTTGAAGTCAACAAATCAATTTTCGATTCTACAAACCCATGAGAAGAACAAGCACAGTCTTTTCGTACAACTAACCAATTCAATGAAACCTGTTGTTGTGATTCTTATCGTAGACAATACACACCCCCAAATGGAAGTACGTTATCGATAGCACCAATCAATTTAGCACCAATAGCACCAACAGATACACACCCCGAAAGATCGATAGCACCAATCGATTTGTCTCGATGAGATATTTCATTTGGTGCGAATGTATTTGAGGTTCCTCACGTATAACAAAAGTTACGGACCTAAACGTTTAATTGTTACTGCAAAGAAAGAAAAAAATCAAAATGAATCTTAATCTTGGTTTTTTCCACTGCCATTTTGACCGCTAATGATAAAACCAGTGGTATATATAGCCATGTTGGAAAATTCGGAGACAGGATATTGTTAATGATGTAAATGGATGGTTAAAAATATGATTATGAGATAACGGACGATGATGTTCCCTTGGTGGTGGTAATTGGGAGCTTTATTGAAGGCATTCGAAAAAAAATACTAAATTGTATCAAACAAATTCAATATTTTCTTGAAAATTCTAGTGGAATAGACAGCAATAATTAGCACGTAAAACTTTGCACAGATTATAATCACACGATACTATATTGGGTATCTATACAATCCTGTTCAATAATTTTACCAAAAACATAATTCACATTCTCAAAAAATTCGTCCTATGGCCAGTAATTACACTGGTGTCTTGTGTTAGTGTGAAATAAGCAAATCTAAAGTTAGATTAGCAAATCTAAAGTTAGATTAACAAATCTAAAGTTAGATAAGCAAATCTAGAGTCAGATAAAAAAACTGGAGTGATTCATTTTATGAGCCAAAGTCGATGTCACAGGTGTCCATTGGCTCAAACTGAAAGCCTCCTCTTCCATTCATGTACAACACGAACTGCAACGATAAAATTTATTACATTAATCCTTGCAATATATAACAATTAATAACAATTGGGGACTTATTATACTGTACAGATATTTCGGAACCAGGAAGCAATGGATACGTGCTTTAAACTTTTGGGAAATTTCCTCTTTCTTGAAATTTATCCCTTTTTCTGTGGCACAATGACCTTTCCAACCTGTTCAACTTCAACTTTTAAATGCTTCCAAAATCTCTGGTTATATTTTTCAATTTTTTTCATTCCTTTTCTAATTGAGCTTGAAATAATTAAAAAAATATCAAACTCAGAACTTGGCAACCGATGTAACATCTTTCAAGAGAATTTTAGTCAGTAAATTTATTTTAGCCAATTTTCTCTTCTATCAAATGACATTCAACTTGATTCAGAGTCATTATTTTAGGCCTATTTCGATCCACAGCTTGGTTTACATTTTCAACAATGTACATTCGGACCCATATTGGGACGTTTCATACTCTGCGGAGTGTCAGAAAGAAAATTTTTCAGCAAGCTGTAAAATGCTTGCTTTTTTCAAAGTCACATATAAAGATTTAAGCACTCAGTTTTCTTGTTATCTTTTCAATCCCTCAAAGCTTTTTCTAGCAACAAGCAAGCTGTAACATACCTCATGATGCCGCCATAGCGACTTTCTATGTGACACAGTGAAGAGCGTTATGCCAACCTGAAGATGAACAAAAATCGGATTACCACAATACGTCAATGGTGACAGAAGCATACCATTTTGAAATCAAGTAATCAAGCAGGCAGAGTGGGCATTACAAAGTGCAAATTATGAGCATAAATTATCAACCAACCCGGAGCTATAGCCTAGAACCGCCCAGTTCTACACACAAAAAGCGCAAAGTGCTTCAGGGCACATCATAGAGATAGGGGACACACAGAGTCCAACACTTCACAGCATTCCAGTAAATACATTTTTTATAAATATCAATTAACAGTACATAACACACACCGGATATTTTGAAAGTGCAATTTTGCGATGAACAAAGTCAGCGAAATGCATGTTACAATCCATTAAAATTTCACCTTGTAACCTTACCGAGAAAGTCGGAAAGTTTTGACAGGGAGGGTTTGATACAAACTAAGCCAAGTCTCAAAACAGTAACCACTGACTCACATTCAAAAATAAGCAATGGCTGAGGCAGGCTTTCAAGACTTTGGGCAAAAGTGAATCATTTTCAGGTAGAATAAGACATTACTTTTTTAAAAAATTCTATCCATCGACTTTTATCAAAAAAACTCTCTTGACGATGTACTACGAAAATGAAAGGTTTTTTATTGAACGAGTGTGTAAGCAATAGATGCTTGTGTCTCACCTCTTTGCAGTGTGAATACATAAATCCTTCCACGTCGACACTAACAGCGCTTGTGCATTCATCAAGAATTGCAAACTGCGGCTTGTGATAGAACAGTCGTGCCATCTAAATGGAAGAGCGGCTCAGTTACAGTACGTGTACTCTAAGGTATGTGTACCCTTGGGAAAATTACTTTATGCAGAGATTCTGTAGATACTGACATATCGTTCTCTAGGCAAAGGCTATAATGCCTAAAGGATTATTGGAAGAAGTACCAAAGAGCCTGGATATGGACTCTCAGAGAATTATCCCTGAAGAAGTATAACTTTACAGTTAATTGAAATTTACCTTTATCTTCTTTAATCATCATATGAAAAGAGGGTACTCTTTCTCGATTAGCTAAGCCATTGAAAGAGTTCACCCTCAAGAAAATCCGCCACGGCAAATCTTTTATTGTCAATTTTGATTGTCTTTTTATATAATATGTAGTTGCTAATATTGTTGCAAGTTGATTAAATTACATTATACGTAGTTTAATGAAAAATCAATGAACTGAGTCTAAAAGAGCAAACGAAAATTAACTCACAGTTCCCCCATATGATTGCCTACTTAATGAAACAACTGACTTATCGACATAGAAATTAGTTGATGGTACAGAAAGAAAGGGTGTATGAATATCTTTTCGAAAAACTGGAAGTAACTGGAAATGGTTTACATAATTTTTTGAACACTTTGAAAAATTACTGATCATGCTTGCAACGATTAAGAGATATTATACTTCAGGTGCAAACGAAATATTTGACTTCATAAATTCTAAGAATTTATATGTAATAATAATAAATTCTTATAAATAAATGAAATTACTCACAGCAACACGCTGCTTTTCACCACCACTTAGAACGTCAATCCAATCCTAAAAAGAAATTTCAAAAACTGATACTGGTAAAAACTTCAAAACTTAACAACGCATGCTCCAACCTCACTTCTATTTTAAAATGCTTTAAAGGTCGTGTCTTGATTTTCTTCAACTTTTCGTGCTTTCCGCAGTAACGTTCTTGAATGTTCGCTCTTATCTTAATTCGCTAATGGCAACAACAACATTTGTTTCTTTCAATAACGTATTTCGTCACTTATTAACTCTTTCACAAACAGATATTCGTGAATAAATATACTAACTTACTTGCCCTTTTCAGTGTTAAAAGAAAAACAAAATAAAGGAGCAGAGATCCATTAATTTGCTTATTTTTTACAAGGGTGGGGTTAAACCTATCACGTAGCATTGTTCACTTCAGTCAAAAGCAGGTTTACCGTCGTAAGGAAGCAATAAAAAATCAATCATAATAAACTGAGGGGCAATTGCGATGACAATAATGATAAAAAACTTGAAGGACATAAAATACCTGAACAACATCCCATCCACCTTCGCGCTCAAGGATATATTCCAACTGGACCTGTAAATAGCAAGGGTTGTGTTAATTTACTGATCAAAAATCGGACATGAATCTTCATGGCAGCTATCCAAAAATCTATGCAAGCAATATTATTAGCAACAAACTAAGACTCCATAAAAACTTAAGTAATAACAACGAGAAAAGTTAAAATTTTACTACTATTAGTTAAAACTTTTTACAACTGTTAGTTAGTTAGAACGAAAGTCAAAACTGAAACATGGTAAAAATTTATCAAAAAGTTAAATTGCCAACAAATTCTTATCTCAGTCAACTTTTGTGGCATTGTCACTTGATAAAATTCAGAGAACTGTTACTTTAAGGCTTATAGAGAATAGGCTCAAAATCTGTGATTGGCTGAGAGATTTATTCAAAAATATAATTCAAGAATATGACAACAAACGTGCCTTGCGGCTAGATTTAGGCCTATTTTTCTACACATTCATTTTTGTAGGTGTTGATTAAACTTGCAAAATAGGCTTGAATATAGTTGAAATAGGCACGTAAATCTTTAATTCTGATTAGTCCAATTACTCTTATCAGCATTCAAAAAAATATTTAAACAGCTAGCAACCTTGTTGAGATAGGCTTCCAAATCTTCATCTGAATACCCTTTCTTCTTCATATCTTCTTTTGTGTCAGGATAAATAACTTGATCTCGCAGTGTCCCCATTGTCATGTACGGCCTCTGAGTGAGATATCATTAAAACATTATCAGATAGCATAAAACAATACAAGCTAATTGAGCAGTAGTTAGTAGCAATGTAAATCGACGAGAGATAATACAATTCAAAGAGAGAATAACTTTCTGGCCAACTGTTCATTGCTATTGTCTTTGAGTTGTTGCTCGTATTCTTTCAGAAAAACATTAACTGTTTCTTCGACGAACATAGCACACATGCTTTGGTACTTGGATTGCCACCGTTTCTTAGCTAAGTTTTTCAGCACTGTAGAGCTATCTTTTTACGTCGGGAGTTTGAAATTTCGACACCTTAGTTTCAAGATAAAATATGAGGAATAAAAGTCGTTTGAACTCAGGCTTCGTAAAAATAGAAGAATAGAAGTAGAGACTCACTTGTGGAATGTAGAAGAGTTTTGAACGGTGAGGTTTGATTAAACGTCCACCAAATAATGGCCAGAGCTGCAATAAAATCAGAAACACGATGATATGTAAATAGGTTGGGTAAAGAAGGCTGAGACGATAGAATGCAAAGGTTGCGAGCGAATAAAAGCGATGATAACAGACAGAACATTTCAAGCACTGGAAAAACCGATTTGTGGAATTTCTAGGGACTTATAAAAACAGAAAGCCTTAAAAAGATTCAAAGTAAATTAGAGCCTTGTAAATTAAACGGTGCTCAATAACTTTATGATTTGGTATAAAGATATTGCATTCAGAGTTTTCATCGTTATTATATTTTCTGTTCTCCTTACCATTTTGTAAACATATTTTTAACAAAAAAGACAAGTTTAAATAATAAAGGTTTGCTATTTCACTTTGATTATAAGAACCTATGAAGAACTTTTAAAAAGAGTGAGACGAAGCGAAAATGCAAGAACTACAACATCAGGCTTAGTTTAATCTCACCTCGCCAAGAACTCTGAACAATGAACTCTTGCCACAACCATTTGGCCCACAAACAAGGACATTAACGCCAGATTTAACCTAGAAAATAAGGCAACTATATAAAGAACATTTCTATTGGACCATAAGAGACAAACACAGGCAACAAGTAGCGGCTTAGCAATTTAGGCCTGTTTTAAGGGCAATCTTTTAAGCGCAATCTAAATAAGGATGGCTCATTGGCTAGAGTCATGGGCAACAGATCCAAGAGTTTTTGGTTCGAGCAAATGATAGGACGAATCTTTCATTTAAAATGTAGAGAGTCGCTGCCTCTCTGCAATGCCAGGAGTAGGAACCACGAGGTGTCATCACATCGAGAGGAACGACCGGGACACTACTCGATAAGCATAGCTGATCAGCGTCCTGAAAAACTACCGTCAGAAGCTAGCTAGCAACAGATACAAAATATATCAGAAAACAGTACGTTAGGCCCTACCTCGAATGAAATTTCAGAAACAAGGCAATCTCCGTTTGGTGTAACGAGAGGCACATTTTCAAATCTATAAAAAAGATGATAGGTATTCCTCCAGAATTAAACAATGGACACATATTGCTTTAAAAGAAATAGAGATCGCACGAGACGCGGTATTCCTTGTTTTACAAAACGATATACCACATTTATTCCATCATCAACTGAACGATGGAAGATGGAAGCGAGTAGTTTTCTTAGCCTTATCACAGCGTCATATTTGCAATGTTTTTGCGGACATGTAAAACTAGCTAATTTTTTTATGTACTCAGCCACAAAGGCACCAGGTGATGCCGAACGGTCTGCATATATTTATGAAAATCAATTGATATTAACTTCAAATTGGATAAAATAAAAACGCAAATCGAAATCAATTGACAAAACTGTGATTCTTCATTTTGAGCTACATCCAATTAAAAAATATTAACAGATGTAGCAAGTTTTGTCTTTGTCTGAACGTCAGAGATGATCTTTTATCGATTTTCAGAAATAGATACACAAATTGCAAAATGTAACCTTATTATGTGGTCCCGCTCAATGACTTCGCCTTTTCCATTGGTATAATCAAATTTACTTTTGCTTTCTGGTAACAAAAAAGACAAAATTTGAAATAAAAAGCGGTTACATCTTAAATGAGACAAAAATGGAATGAAAAAATTTCTCATCTAAATACAAAACTATAATTAAAACAATTAATACTAATTTTTAAATTCTTAAACTTCAAGGTACGTGGATGATTTATCCCAGAAATTAAAAATTCTTACAAAGCTTTGAAATTCTTTACTTTTATCAAAGATATCTGGTAATTTTACCTGAGAGCTCAAATCGTCAGAGCGTTTAATGTGAAAGTTCTACTTTACTTTGAGGTTCAGGAACTACTGCCAAAAATTGCATCGACGACAAAGAAATAATAAAAATAGAGATCAGAATTGGATTAAGTTTATATCTATGATAGACCGTTGAATACTTCACACAGTGAGCATGTAACTGTTCAAGAGTAGTAAGTATCAGTATTTTCTGCAACTCCTTACCCTCGTTGCTGACTGTCGAAGTTTTATATTTTCCTTTCTGTAGATCATCAAGAACCTCCATGATCTCTGTGACTCGCTGTGTAAACCTTGATGACATAAATTTTCAGTTAAAATGTGCTTGAAATTATAACAAATTTAGAAGGTAACCCGGCCGTGCTCTTGCCTAAATTTGAATAAGTAAAACCTTCCTTCAAATTAGATGCAATGATGTATTGCTAGTGACATTGAATATGCATACGAATCTGCTTTTATATTTTTGCAGAACAGACGGGCAAAAAAAACTAATACGGAAAACCACTAAGTTTTCAATATGATCATAATTGAGTTGTCTTACCCTGCAAGACGTGTCATCTCCCTGCCAGATAAAACTAGCCTTCCAATCGCTTCCGCCATTTTTACCATCATTCGTCCCGTTTTGTAATAATCCTAAAGAAATAATCGAGACATTTCGAATAAGAAACTTAGAGCCACTTAATCGCAGCAAAACATACAAAGAAACAAATATACAACTTTTATTGTTCGGTATCCATGGTGCACAGAAGTTTACAAACACAGATGAAAAAATGAAAAGTTAATTGATTATTTGAACTTTCCTTCAAAGACCGGGCAGGCATTAAATGTTATCGCATCTTTCCTTAGTTTGTTACGGGTAAAGCAGCAAAAAAATAATCAAAAGTACAAATTAAATAAAAAGTTTTAAATATCAAATATGCATTTTGAAATTTTTGAGCGGATGTCCATTTGAAATTCTTTCTGGGAGCATGTTGAGAGAAGACATCCTGAATGGGAGTTCGTTCAATCGAGCGGAAGGACTGGGCAATGCTCCAAGCATAGTCTCCCAGTGTTCTCTAGGCTATAGTCCGATGTTGGTTAGAAACAAAAACAAATTGATTCTCATATATAATGTAGACTCACTTCCATAATCTCACTATGGGTCATTTGCATTCTTCTTTGGTCTGAGGTGTCCATGAAACTCCTACTTACAACCAGAAATCCGATGACGGTGGCAAAATCTGAAAACAGAGCATTGTTTGTAAAAAGAAAGCAGAGAAAGTAATTTTAGATTCAAGTGAGAGGTCCAGTGAAATTGCATGCGACAGAAGCAGACAAATTTCTTATGAATGATCTATAGATCAGTTTCATGAAAAAGAATATAATTCATCCAAGATTTATAAAAAGTTTCTAAAAAAAACTGAATAAAAAAGCTGAATAAAAAAGTGATTTGGTCAATCAAAAATATATTCAAATCCTGTAAAAGACATGACATTCAGAGGCATGCATGGTAAATTGTCATCTCGAGGAAGACTTATGAATGAATGTATACATTGAATAATAACTGAAAAGAAAATCGACGGCAGAAATATGACAAATATTGTTTCAGTTGAAAACACTTACATTTGGCAATAATGTTGTCGATAATCCCAACGTTGAATCTGAAGTTTAAGAAGTTCCTCAAGTGGTCGACCTAGATTAAAAATCGTCAAGTTGCATGAAATTGAAAGTTGTGCGCAGTTTCCAGATCAAAATATACAATGATCAAGAATAGAACCTACAGTGAGTAAAAAGTAAATAAAGCATAAAAACAATATTTTTGAATTCTATCATGCCACTGACTTAAACAGGGACACAGTTCTAGATGATAGGGGCTAAACGCAAAGAGTGCAGATATCCATTGGCAAACAAACAAAATGGCACTTTCATAAAGCGAACATTTGCTACTGAAGTGTCAGTTACTGAACTGTGTCCTGTGACGGACACCTGGGGTTGGTTGCCTCCCCTCCCCCAATCTTTTGTTCTAAAACAATAGTAAAATGTGACGTCATATTGTCAAAACAATAGGCTCGCCCCCAATATTTGACCAAGTATCCGCCCCTGATTTTGTCCGTTGATATTGCAGCGTAGAGGTTTAATTGAAGCTGATTAAAATGACCGAAAGCTCTAAAGGTTGAGCTCTAACCAGAATGAATGACAAGTTTAAAATACCAACATTTTTAATTACACAAACGAAAAGCAGAAATAGCCAGTCAATTCATGTCGATTGCCGTTAATATTCGATGCAGCATATTTCGTGAACATAAAAGACTGATATTTTAACTGGAATATTTTTATACTGATTGTGTAACAGTGAGATGCTGTTCATAGTTTCTTTTCCGTCCTATCCACATAGAGTAGTCAGGCAATAAAATTAAAATTACTCACGAGATGCTGGAAAGAGGATTTCATTGTAATGTATTCTCGTTTGTTTCCTTGATAAAAAGCAATTTCTTCACTGAAAAGGAGAAAGTATGGCACTTTCAGCAATAACAAAATAACATTTTGCACGCATTATGATTATAAATCGGGAAGAACAAGGACGTCTTTAGGGTACAAGGATGCATTTTACAAAAACTTTCGCATTGAAAGCTCATAGCTTTTACAGCACAAATCAGACTTTTACCCAAGAGTTTTTCTACTAACAACTACCTCAAAAATCACTACATTCATCAACAATAAAACCTCATATCCTACCATTCCCAGCCAAGGAAAGTTCAAATATCTTCACAGGAGGGAGGGGGTGGCGGATGTAGCTATATTTGGGAAAAGCAATAAAAAATCGCAAAATCCTCTGTGTTCCAAATAATTTTGGTAAACATCGTAGATTTGGACAGTGGAATGGTGAAGGCCTTTCAAACCTGTTTGTAATTATCCTCGAATTGACATATCGGAATTCTCCCTCAAGAATTTGTTCTTGCATTGTCATTCTCCCCACGGGTTTTCTTAACCTGTGAAGAAATGGTTTGACAAACATAAAAAATGGAAGATTGTCCATGGCTTTGGGAACAATTTGTTTTGGGAATACATTTTGCTTTTCCCTTGATACATAGTTAGGAACAATTTGCATCGTTGCGGCAAAGATGTTGAATATTTATCTTTGGAAATTTCCCCCTCAAGAGAAAAGAGAAAAATAGGAAGTTGGTGAGAAGTTGAAAAACAAGGAAAAGTATAATGTACATACTGAAAATGGAATGAAGAGATAAAAGATGCGGCAATGCCATCAAGACATAAAGAAACCATCAGAAAGAAAACAATGTCAAATGCTTTGAACAAATAACGTCTTATGGCTATGGTTGTTAATTTTAGGGTATGGTACGGCAAGTTTACGGTAACTATACAGCCGCATTCAGAAATAACATAAGATACACTAACTGTTATTCTATTCGTAATGAAGAACACAAAAGCGTACTTTTACAATCTGAATGGGAATATGTCAGGTGCCAACAGTTTAAGAACAAAATGAATACACTCTTTTTTCATAAGAACCAGTAAATTTAAGTTCAGACTTACTGTTCTTAATTTTTTCGAAAATCTGAGGCTGGATTGTTCTTAATTTGTTCTTAATCTAATAGGGTGTAAGCAGTGCGAGTGCTAGCTTTTTCGCTCTAAGGAGGTGTTCAGGCCTCATTTGGCAAAAAAGTGAATGCAACAGCCTAAATTTGCTGATAAATTTGAATATTCATCGAAAAAGCACCCACAAATCGCTAAAAATCCTCGATTTTGAGAAAAAACGTTTTTCAAAATTGCATTTTGCAGAAGCTTAGCCTCAGCTTGCTTTTAATTTGTTCTTAACTTTTGACCAATTTTGAGGCTCGTGCCCTTATAAAATTGTTCTTATATAAAAAAGAGTGTACGTGCGACGTTTCCCTTGACATTTTTTTCTTAATTGTTTAGTCCATTTACATTGCAACTATTACTAAAAAACATGTTATTTTGTAAAAGGTGTAATAAAAAAGTGGCATTTCACAAGTTGTTCACTTCAAGAAAAATGTTAAGTTGTGATTTAAAAGTTTTATGCCATAGCGAGGGAACATAATACATCTCTTGCATTAATTACCTATGTGTAAATTAACCCCTATTTACAAAAATCGATTTTATGGAGAGAAAAATGAAAAAGTACCTTGTGAGAACAGCTCCCGAAAGAGCCAAATACCCTATCATGGCAGCCGGTCCCTGAAACAGAAATGTAAAATGCTGAAGGAAGTTTTTGCATCAATTTGTAATTTGGAAATTTACAAAAAATGTAAAGTTTTCGAGGAATCCCTAAAAGGGAACGAACTAAACAAAGAAATCCACATGATAGTATTGCAAACAAAAATTAAAAGCTCTTTAGAAATATGTCTTTTCGACATCTACAACAAACGTTTAAACAACATGGCAAAAACTTAGGCTTTAAAATGCGCATTAAAAGGATGCACCACTCACCAAAGCTCCGATAGATCCCGTCAGTCTTTTGACGTAAAGTATTATATCTAAGATAGGCTGGAAATAAATGAAGTTGCAGAGATTAAAAAGAACAATGCTAATATAAAATTTTTAATTATAATGATTTGCTTGCGGCTGTACAACTATCGGAAAAATAGCGCCAGAGTACTTGTTTCTTGCTGTTGTAACAAAAATTTAAAAATTTGTAGACTAGCAGTAAAGCATTGACATATATACATTTGTTGGATTCATCCAGAGTATATATCCCAGTAAATCTGTTTAAACACAATGTTTCGCGCTTAATGCTACCAGCATGCAACTTGGAACTGCCCTTTTCTATACATCAAAGCAGCAACAAGAGTTTGTATATTATCTATATGTGAATAAGGATGCAACTCCAAAGAACAAGGAAAACAAACACAGTACCTTGCTAACATTAGAATAAAGTTCCACAACACTGGAACAGAATTTGTCCACGTCCTAAAAAGATCAAGAAAAGACTGGTGTAAAACTTGACACTTATCAACAAAATCGTGTAAGACTCAACATAACGCTTAGACCTTTGGTTTCACGTGGAATTCAAAAATTAGAAAAGCAAATAAATTGACTGAGACGTGCTTCAGTTGATACAGTTAAAACCCGCGTGTAAGAACCTACTTTTTTCAGAGTTTGGCAAAACAGGTTCTTGCATTTTAAAGGTAATGTGTCCAGCTAAAGCAAGCGGCTCTGCGGAAGTTTTCAGGAACATTTGATTTTTCATATCATCGCCCCAGCCATTACGGTTGTTCTGTTTATTTACCCTGCTGCGAGGTTAGCTTTTCATGTGAGCAGTTTTGCATCGCAAGAATACTAACCAATCGCTAGCCGTTATTTTAATGAGTGGCTTGACAACTTGGGTATACGCAGTCATTTTATATGGACATATTACCTTTAAGGTACTTATTGACAGTCTTATATTTTGGAGTACTAAAAAAGCAAATTTTGGAGTTCAATACCAACAGATTCTTTTAAATTTAAGGCTAAAATTGAAAGTATTTAACATTGTGGTTATACACTCAGATATAATAATGAAACATTGAGTTGCAACTTAAAACCATACTGCTCGAGACGCAAAAGTGTTCACGTAGTCAATAGGGCATCGAGCACTATATAGCAGGCCGGTAAACAGGAATTTTCGTTAGCATAAGGCAAACAAGATTGCTTAACATATACCTGCGTCAACAGTTGGTCAGGATTGGATATCCTGTTATCTAAATTGCTCATTTTGTAGTATGTGAACCCACTGCAAAAAAAGATTGATTGAAATTTTGTTAAAATAAAATTTGAAGCAGTTGGATATTTACAGAATTGAAGTGATGTTGTTTGTTACCTACTTTTCATTATATGTTGGTTTCTTCTATAAATTTATGCATACATTGGGATATAATATGATATAATTAGCTTCGAAAATTATCTTTGTTATATCTGCAGTCCTATTGCACATGAGATGGAGAAGCTAAGTTAATCTAAATTAAGACCTAAACGAACTCTTTTGCACTAAAAAATTCAAATTATTTTGTTCACTTAAAACTATACAGGGTCCATCTCGTATCCTTTACAAGATTCACAAAATCCTCCTTTTGATTTATTTGGTATACATCTAGAATTATTTCTGTATAATAATTCTACCAGCACTTTACATTTGAAACTTAGGCCGCTCATCAAGGGAAAAAGCAACCGCAAAGATAATCATATGCAGCTTCAAACCACACACCTTAAATACTGTTCCTGCAGATGTAAGGTCAGTCTTGAGCGAAAACGAAGCTTCAACTCGTTCAAACCATACTGCAAAAAGGCAAACATGTAAAGAACATTTAATATTTTAATGTACGGCAGATCAAATTTTAAGCTTCAGGATATCAAAATAAAAACTGAAACGCCATCGGCATCCACCGGTTAGATTCATGGAAAAATTTGAAAAAAGTTATTACAAAATAGTCTAAAGAACCTAGGTTTTTTTCTGGCAGCCTAAATAGATTCTGCTATTTTAAATTTCAGGCTAAAAGGTTCTTAACAAGGTTCTTATATACGTACAGGCCTTGCACACTTTAACAATGTTTTCCACAGCAAGAATTCTAATGGATACACTTAAAACAGCTTATTTTATGTTAAATTTCAACCAATCAAATGAATTTGTGTTGTTAGATTGTCCAATTAGAATGCAACATACCATAACCTGATTTACTCTAAAAACCCCTTTTTCTTATATATATACATAAGAGCCTTTCCAAATTTCATGTTTTAAGGTTAAATTCCAGCCTCAATGTTCTTATAAAAACAGGTTCTTTTATGCGGGATTCTACTGTATGTACAATGACAAAACAATAAAGCAGTTAACTTGAAAACCCCGCTATTATGACAAAAGGTGTTCGTTTTCACCTTAAGAATCCACTGGTCATATTTTCAATATTCAATGAACATCACATTTCTGATTGGCCTATTTCGATCCACAACTGGGTATAAATATTTCTAGCCAAGAGTATTCGAATTATGTTCTGAAGTTTTATACTTTGAGGAGTGTCAGAAGAAAAGTTGTAAGAAGTTTTACAATGTTTACTTTTTTCAAAGCCATTTTAAAAAAAGTACTATTTTTCACAACGTTAAAAAAACAACGTACCTTCAAGAGCTGATTTACGATAGAAATCTGCAAAGAAAAGACTATTTTTTAAAAACAGTCATGACAGTTATTCGTTACTAGCACGCTTCGAGAAATATATTGCAGGTAAAACTGAAAAATCACTTCTTCAACCTTAAAGCAACATGTTGCTATAATAGTTTCTTCTGATTTCAGATCAACACACTTTAAACTTAAACTTCCTCTTATGCATATGAAACAGTTAAAAAACACGTGGGTCAGAATAAGAATTGGTCAAACGACGACAACATTGTGAAAACAGGAATAAATAACAATCTACTCCGCTTAGAGTCTGAAATCTACTCCGCATCTTTCTGCTTAAAGTCACACTACCATTCACAGTCACATCAAAGTTAGACACAAATACGCAAAACTGTTCAAAAAGGCTTCGTTTACAGTCACATTCTGCTCACTGGCACAGTTTTTCAACAAGATATGGTGTGACTATAACCAGAATCTACTCTACTGCTTAAAACATAACATAATCTAAGGTGCTCTCTTTAACTGTGGTCACAACGAACTGATTACTTGTACCATATGCTGTATTAAAAGGAAGCTGTGTATGCAAGACCTACTTTACAACACCTGGCATTAGCTTTGCAATGTTTGAGAGAAAGCCTGTTCGTTGATATTACTATTCTGTTGATGTTATGTGAGTAAAATAAGTAAGTATAACAAGTAAGTATAACAAGTAGGATCGGCAGTGCACTTTACAGCATCTTCTTTCAGTTTTACGTACAGATCGTATAGCATCTTTAACCTTTTCAAAATACTAACATAATTAACTTTTATCACAATGAAACAGGGGTGGCACTGACTTTCAGTCGGAAGATAAAAAATAAATGACATATTCAAATCCCTGGGGCGAAGAAAGCGGAAATGTAGTGGAGAATGGTGTTACCACGACAGAATTTTTTGGAACATATACTTTTACAGTAATTCTTTATCAACCCTGTCAAAAGCTTTGGACATATGACAGAACATTTTAAGACAGACAATGACAGAATTTTTCCTCAGGATACCAGGCAAGGTCGTCTTTTCATTGACAGGCTCAGCTTGCATAAGAGCCGGAGAACTAGCCTTTTACAAGTAAAATATACATGGTTGCAGCCTAACATCAATCTTAATCTCTTACCGCTGGCATTGCTGACATCCATGATAATAAATGTTTTGCCAAGTCTCGCGGATTTCGTGAAATGATATCACTGCAAATAAAATAAATAAATTGATTAAAGTTCATCCATGTTGGTATACAAACAAGCATTTAGTGGTCTAAGAATGACCAAAAAATAAAAATGTGAGTTAAAGGGCGATGAAGTTTCAGAAAATAGATAAAAAACTTTAAAAGCAACAATATTCCTTCAGCACTTAATCATATAATTGTAGAATGTCTACTGACTTTTCACATGACAAACCTACAATCCTAGACAAAAATAGTAGAGATTTTTCAAGGAAAAGGGAGTTTTTTTCCTTTCAAAAATAACAATCCCCCCTCTCTCCATTCAATGTTGAATGCATGTTTTGAAGCAGAACTACTAATCCAACATTGATTCAGGGGGACAGGAGGATTCGAATTTACAGAGGAAAGGTAAGGTGCAAGAAAAAAATTGCATTTTTTTCTCAACAAATTTTTCCGGGATTGTAGCTTTCTCTTACGTTATTTAGAATGAATTAAATGACATAACTAACTACACATTTTTGCAAGACACTTTCAAATAAATCGGTGTCTGCACTTCGAAAAGTTGCTTGTGATACTAGAGGTGATTGCTTGACTGTTTACAAACAAGCAAACAAGAATAAAAGCAGTCAATTACTATTCATAAAGAGAAAACTGCCTAGCATTTATAAAAAATGTAACCAAATTTCCAAATGGATTAAACTTCTATGGTATTATCCACTTTATTAGGTTAGAAACAGCAGACAAACAGGTCTATGTCCCCATTGTAAATTTGGCTCATTAATTCTGGCATAAGATGGCACAATGAATTATGCAAAACGGTGTCCTTATAAGCCTCTGAAACCGGTGCATTTTAATGACAAACGAATTATGCATATAGTCCTTCTTTAGACACAGTTTAGAAACCGTGGTTCTAAGATTTCATTTATTTTAAATTGTATTTTATGTATTATACATTCTGAAGTTTTCCATTAGATGTTATAGACAAACTGCAATTGCTTTGCAATCTACATCCTCTAAATCCATTTCCATTTGATAAAAACAAACACAAACCTTTCAGTCTGTGTGGTTATCGAGATCATCCAAACATCACAATATGTTCTTGCGATCAAGGAAAAGGCAATCAAGAGAAGAAAACCAAACTGAAAACAGAGAAAATATAGCAACCATTAATGACATTGATTTTCATAAATCTCATCAGATATTAAGGAAATCTAGGAGTTGAGCAAGAGACGTGAGAAGCATTTCAAATTTAGAGGGGCACAGGTCGATCGGGGCACTTTCTCTCAGAACAAGAGCATGTTTTTAAAAGTTCTTACTAGGGGACTTCTAAGGGAAGAGGGGTTTCTCCCAAAAACTAGTGGTATCTGCCTTGTGTCTTCTGGTTCTGATGTCTCTGAAGTGGACCATAGGAAGACATTAAGAAGAATAAGAATAATCATCACTGATAAAAAGCCTTTTAACATTGCCCATCAAAAAATTTCCAATATTAGTGGGAGATATTGAAGAAGCTGCTGTTAAAGAGATTGAGCCAGAATAAGATGAAAAAACAAACCATCAAAAATTACTTTGAAAGTAAACAACCTTACCTCAGGGCACCTAACTTTTGGGATAAGGATTTTCAAAATGTGGTATAGTTGCCTGTAACAAAAATTTGATTTAAAAAAGCAATAATGACTTTTACCAAATATTTTTAACCAACAACAGCAAAATAGTAGGCATGAAGTACAGCTTACAACGATGACATTGTTTCATATGACACTTAATATAGTGTGAAAATTTTCTCATTTAATCAAATTTGAAATCTTTGTGCTATAAAACTGAAAGACCATTTACTCTCCCCATTCCCATTACTTAAAAATCATTATCAGATCTGGTTGATCTTGTTTGAAGTATATGCAAAAGGAAATGGCTTTTCTTTAGACGAGGTAGTAGATAGCAACCAATAAAGTGCTATCAATTTGATAAATAAAGTGCTATCAAATTAAATCTTTCCTGTTTCTCACTATTAAAGATAGCAATATTGTATATTTTCATACTTGAAAAATTTGTAATCTACACTTGCTCTTCTTTTTTTACTACCTTTCTGCAAAAGAAAAAAATATTAGCATAGCTCATCATAGGGCATGCAGCAGATCATTGTTCAATCAAACTATGAAGCTAAACTTGAATCAAATGTTGGCTTATGTTTTTATATTTTTTACATCATAGGCAAGTTAACTTCCTTGTTAACCTCATTAGTTTTGCACTTTTCTATCTACAGATCTCCAACAAAAATTGACCCATAGATTTCAAATGTCATGTTTAAATAAGTCTATACTGAAAACTCCATGTTGTTTGGACTGTTCAGTAGCAAGTTACTATGTTTTGAATAAAAATATAGTTCTCAAGATTTGACCAGAATTTCCTGCCACATTGAATTTATTTCACCGCAGCAGAAAATTGCAAAAAAAAAGGAAAGGAAAAGTAAAATTTTGAAAAGGGCACTTTTTGGCACAGGTAATGTCAATATGAAGATTCCCAATCTATGGTCCACTTTTGGCAAATATGAAGATCAAAAATTAACAACGCTGACAACCATTATCAGGTAATCATAAAGAGTCTTTTCAGCCTGTCTTAGTGTAGCAAACCAAGGGTGGGAGGGGTCAGAAATTAATGCCCCCATTTGTTCAATTTTTGGGACAGTTGAAGGTCCCTTGCTCCTCATTCTAATACCCCTCTTTATTCTACCAAACTGTTGGACTAAAATTGTTAAAATTCAAAAGTCCTTGCAATGATTTTAACAATGATCAATCAGAAGTCTTCAGTCAGTAAAGGTTAACATTCCCCCTCCCCCATGATTGTATCTTGCACTTTACCATGATCCCCTTTAAATGTTTATTTCCTACCTCAGAGTAACTTGTTTTTTCAGGAACCAGGCTATCACAAATACCAAACTGTCTCTTTTTGAGGTCAAAATTTTGCTACTTGCATTATTGCATACCATGACACATACTCTGCCCTGATACATATTTTGCGACTCTTGATTCAGTGGAACTGCCCCCATAAGTGCAAGGCCTATTTGGGCTTCAATGATTATTTCCATTGATTTAAATGTTGGCTTAGAAAAGGTCAGTTATACTTTATCATTTGTAAATTAAATGACCAATAAATTCCATGTCTTACCTTGTCATCATTAAAATGTATCTTTCCAACACTATGAAAAACAAAATGATATCACAACTTTGACAGGTAAAAATTTACAAAGATATTGCTGTGACATATTGATTTACAAAAATTAACCGTGACATAGGCAAACAAGAAAGTAGTGGTGGGATGAAGAGATAAGGGGTCTGGAAAAGACATAGAAAATAATGAAGGGATGTAAACTTTTCTTAGCAAATTCTGATATCTTGCTACCGGGAAACAAGGAGAAATTTTTAGAAACAACTGGAAAATTGTTTGAGGGGTTAACTGCTTAAAAAAAACCTCTCTTTTTACTACTCCACTGAGTTGTGCTGTAATATTTTTAAGTGTAACACAGACAGTGGCGAAGCCAAATGTCCTGCTTGCCCTGGACTTGTCCTGGAAAAATTTCCAAAGATAACAATTTTCAAAAAGAGAAAAATTTATTCACTTTATGAAATCATTATATGCCTGATTCAAAGGCATTTCTTGTCTTATTCTACACTTATACTTCGTGGCTGTGCCCTTTTTTCAATTTTGAGGTACAGGGTGACTGGGCTGGAATTTCGAGTATCCCGTTCGTAAGTTGATATCACTGAAAATTTAGCCCAGTGGCCAGTCCTGCCCAATGCTTGTAGGCAGGACTAAACCCTATGTTTGGTCCTGCCCAACAATGGGCAAACGCCCCATAGCCCTGTTTTTGGTCCTGCCTCACAATTGAAGAAAACAAAGGCACTCCTGCCCTTCAGAAATGGTAGGACCTCAGGTCCTGCTCATTCATGAAGGCAGGACCTAGACTTTTGGAGCCCTATGTTTCAGTATATATGTATATGTCTTTGGAGCCAATTCAGTATAATTTGTTGATTTTCTGTGCTGTGCGTGGTCACAAATAATATTCACTCAGGCCATAGTCAGACTTTCCTTAGGAAAAATAAATATTTTGATATCATGGATCAAACTAACTGTAATGAAGACATCATGATTCTGCTGCTGAAGAAGTTTTTGCTGCTAGAAGCTTCGGGCAGGAAAGGCCTACACTGTCATCATTTGATTTATACAAAAACGATCGTTTCAAGACGAGCTGTACTTATGGAAATCAAATTGTTTAGAGTCGTTCTGTTGGTCCTATTTGTTGTTCAAGTCAGGAATATCACAGACATCGCGAGAAACCTGACATATAGTTTTCTCTCAGACATCAGAGAGCAAAAAAAGTCATATTCGAAGGCATGAATTATAAACAGTGGGAAAAGTTTGCAGCCGCTGAGAGAGAATCTTGGTTTTTTTTGTACCAGGAAAGTCGAGATCGAGGGGAGATGGAGTGTGCATGACAGAAAAAAGGGCTTGCTAAAATTTGATTTCAGCAGCTCGCCATCCTGCCTTAACAGGAACTACCATACAATTCAGAGATCCCAATGAAAAGGACACCTGCTTAAACAATGGTAATTACTAGGAACTTTTGTACTCGGTCACATAGATTGTATTGTACTGGCAAGATGTCAGGGGTCTCCTCTAATATTCAAAATAAATTAATTCAAGACCCTATCTACCATGCATCAGACCTATCAATGTTGTGAAAAAACATTTTTACTTTTTTAAATAATTTGCATAAATTATGTTTCTCGTATGTATCACAACTGTATATGCCTATTTGTACAAGCAATTTATTTTTAGTTAATGATTTCAAAAATTTCAACCAATGAAAACATTTTCAGATATTACTTATTTTAGAAAGAATTTTTGTGATGCTCCTTGGACTTTTTCAATGTAAGGCAGTAAAAACTTGAAAGGATCCAAATACTTGTCCCCTTTTTTCCAAAATGTGGCAGTGAAAAATATTTCACTGCAATCTAGATGTCAACATACCCAGAAGGGCGTTTCCCCCCCTTTCCAAGAGTCTTTAGGGCATGGCTTCACGCAATTTTTCTGGGGCAACACCCCCAGACCCCCTTTGGGCAGGACCATCTGTTCTTGGTTAGCTTCGCCACTGAACACAAGAGGGTACTATTGCATTGTATTCATAAAAAGCAATCATTCAAAAAGTTTGCAGAGAAAAGTTTACTTCATTTGAGCATTTTTCCTCTGTGAACAATAAAAATATAGGCAGGATTGCAATACATCAACATTTGTACCTTATGACCTTCTCCCTGTAAACATACAAATGGTCCATACTTGGGAATATTGAAGCTGGGGTGCACAAGATCAGGGGCGGAAATTGTGAGGCACGGGTGACGAAGATTTCAAACTGACTTTTGCTAAATTCTTCATTGAGACACAGCAGACTTTGTCAATAGATCTTGTCATTAATCAGCAAATTTGCACCTCTGCACAAGATCATTGTTTAAAAGGTTATAAGAAGGCCAAAAACAAAATCAAGGCAAGTCTGTATCTGAGTTTCTGCAAATGGCTATGATTACAAATGCTATCATTCTCCCCTTGAATTTCATAATGTTTCTCACCACAACATACTCCCCAATTCTACTGTGTATTTTTGAAAAAATTTTCTACTTCTACATGGGACAGAAACCACTACAAAACTATTTGATTAAATCGCATGCAAAAGACGTAATTGGTAAATTTTACAATTTACATTTTGGTTTAAAATGTTGTTAGTGACATGGTGCTTGTTCATTAGTGAAGTATCCATTTTCAAAGTAAAGTTAATAAAATGTATCTTTAATCCAAAAAAGTGAATCATGTGTACCTCTCTGTAAAAAGTATTTGAAAATGTTCAATCTTGGGCGAGAATTCTTCAGCTTAAGATGATGTCCACAGTGTATATGCAAATCTCTTTGATCTATACTTAAAAATTTTGTTGCATCAACATCATACAGACCATTAAGGGACTGGCTTATGGCCTTCTGGCTGATGACACTGAAAATCTATCACTATAAAATATTTTCCACTTGGTAGGATGGGACCTAGGCAGGGATTAATTTAAGGGTCTTTGGACGAGCACAGCTAAGCTAAATGTGATGATAAGATCGTAATTTTGTTTATAACCGTAGATAATATACACAGGACAGTCGCGAGGCAAGCCTTGTTGGGGGAGGGGGGGGGGGAGTGTGGAATACAAATTTACCTGATTGAAAAATTATTGCCTGAAATTCTTTAGTTGCTGTCACAAACCTCTACAACAGCACATTTTGTCAACTAACTCTGTATATAATTCGCAACTTTTATTTTTATATGATGATAAAGGACTTTCCTAATAGTTGTGTCAAATCTGTATATTGGGATGGGCAAAGGATATAGTTACTGCCCGAGGTGGCACCACGGTTGCCGCACCACGGTAGAAAATTTTGGAATTTTGATGCTTCCAGTTCCCTGGAAAATCCACACTTTTGAGCATATCTAACTGATTTTGCATATTGAGAGGTATTTTATGCTGTTCGTTTAGATTATGTGGTCAAATTTAGGAAATTCTAAACAAGATTTTTGAAGAGGTCACACTTGAGATACTTTTGGGGTACTTGTGACACCCCCCACACCCTGGGTTGCGGTGCCCCTGAATATACAGGGAATTTTGCATAACCATTAGCAAACTACCCAACTGAAATTTTTAAAGTTTAAGTCATGAAAGTAAAGGCCACTGATCATTTGAAGTCTTTGGTACATTCCAGCAAATGACCGGAAGTAGTGTTTCAGAAAGCGTGAAAAATGCACATTCAGCAAAATTCTGACATTCTAATTTTTCAAATCTGATGATTTTATCAGAAATATTTTGCAAATTGAGTAAAAAATGCTAAAATATAATTGTTTCCTGGCATTATTTGATGTGCTGAATAGAATAAGAAGCAACTCCAACATTAAAACATCACAAAATGCTATTTTTAGACTTTGGTACAACTATATGCATGTTGCTCGAACTGAAACTTTACTTTTGAATGAAAGTTTGCACACACTTTTTTTTATAAGAATCAGTAAATTTAAGTTCAGGCTAACTGTGCTTATTTATTTAAATCTGAGGCTGGATTTTTCTTAAATTGTTATTATATTAATAGGGTGTAAGCATGATTGCTAGCTTTTTCGTTCGCTCTAGGAAGGTGTTCAGGTCTCGTTTGCCAACAAAGTGAGTGAGACAACTTTCATTGTCCTTATAAAAGAAGAGATTATTTGAGATTTGTTTCCTATGTTTTCGTTGTTTTTGGCCGTTTCCGCAACACGTCCGTGCCTGCAGGCACATTAAATTATTGCCTGGGCATAGGCATGCACAGAAATTGTTTTTTTTTTTCAAATGCATACCCACAAATATCAGGTCCCATGCGATTATCAGGTGTCCCAAAATTAGTATCTCTTCAATTTGGTAGGTACCCCTTCAAAAAAAAGTAAATTTAGCTGCTCCCGCCTTAATGAAAGTGGAAGGAATAAATTCACATTAATAAGCATTGATTGGTTCAGGGCGTTTTATTGCCATGGTGCAAGGAAAGCCAAGAGAGACAGGTCACGCAAACATGCAATAAATGAGATGAGATGAGAGGTGAATAGAGCTGACTTACCTAACGCTACGAGCACCACGCCATGTCACTGCTTTGAACGTTCCTAGTGCTGCAATGGCCACCGAACTGGCGAGAAGTATGTTCTTTGCATTAACTTGACGAGAGGCATTCTGGAGCAACTTGCTCCAGGTTGGAGCCATTTTGAAGGGATTTCGTACTGTGCAAAGCGTTGTGTTGACCCTGTTTTCACATTGAATTGGATTTTTGTTAGCATATGGATGACCGTAAAAATGGGAATGAAAAACTCAGCCTCTCCACAAGAACTCAAAGGAATTTTTTTAAAGAGTTTGAAACTAAATCGGGAAAAGCAGTCACCTTCAGAAGATGTCTTGGTAGCCAACCAATATCGAAAAGGCCTTGAAAATGAACAGAGGCACGCCATACAGGGCCCGCGCCACGAATTTGAAAGTGGGGGGGGGGGGGCAAGGCTTATTACCTCTTATACTACAGCTTAAAATTTGCAAAAAATTGGGGGAACCGTGCCCCCCCCCTCAATAGCATGGCATGGGCTCTGCCATATAGGATGAAGGACAAAAGTTGAAGGGACAAAGAGCGTATAGGGCAAAGTCCACTTGCATACTCGAACCATGTCTGCCTCGCAAATTAATCAGAACGTGTTTATTATTGTCATAAATGGGGGTGCAGATAGCAACCAACCCTGTTGCCTTTTGATAAGAGGGGTAAAGGGGCAAAGTGCCCATTTCCTAAATGCACCCTTTGTTAGAATTATGAAGCGTACCCCCGTGCGCCGAAATTATATCATGCCTTTAATTAGATTTGAGAGTAACCACGTGTGAATATCTCAACAGTGAGCATCGTGCTAAGGACTCGTCATGGAGGTTTCATGAGGGTAGACGAGAGAGTCATAGTTTAGGAAAGAAAAGTGTAACCGTATTCTCTAAGTATTATATATAAGAAGTTGTTTTGTTGTGTTATCAAAAAATCGTCAAAATTCAATTCTTGCCCTCTTTATCGTTAAATCCTGAAATAATGGAAGCTTACAACACCCTTGATCAGAGTCCAGAAAAGTTGTCAATCTTCTTCCAGCTAAGAAAATCTTATTGTAAAACCGTCCTCGTTTTAATGGGTTTAAAATGAGCGTGGTCAGAAAATGTGGAGCACAACCAGTCTTAATCGCCTCTCCTGGTAACTGTTTTTTCAAAACTTTGCTAGAAATTGGTAGCCTTGTTTTATAGATATTTTTAGAAACCAATGTTATATAAAATGCTTATATCGATAATAAGTCGTATAATTCAAGAAAATAGGTTATAATGAGTTAATGTCTAAGTATTTTGCAGTGCAAAGTAGTTCTGCAAACATATTCATGCTAAAAAATAGGAGGCTTTTGAATTTTATTCTGATTTTTTTTTCATTTTTTTCATGGCTGTATTTTGAAAATCAAAAGGCTATTTTTAAACAATAGATTTTCCTGTTGTATGTCAGTGACGTAGTTTGTGATTTTGTTAATGCACTCTTGTTTGTCTGTAATCAGTTACCCTGCCATTTCCCATTAGTTACCATTACATGTTGTCAGTTCCCTATTGTTTCTGGGTAACTTGTGTTTGTCATGTGTTTTATGTTGAGTTTTGAGTTGAATGCAGTCGTCATATAAATAAATTCAATATAAAGCCGTGTCGTCGCTGCTACGTTGAAACCTCCGTCGTTTGAAAATCGAAGAAAACTTTTGTACATATTTTGTTGCCCTTCTTTTACTTATCCTTACCTGCAAAACATAGTAGTTTTACACTATAAACAAATTTTCAACTTCCTCAAGTTTCTAATTTTGGCCACCTTCCTCGATTTTTCTTTGTATCTACAACCTTTCTCCGTCATTGGCTGTGAGGCCATGATGTTTTCCTGACTCTGCCCTTGATATTGTTCTTTTGTAATTAGAGATTGATACGAAATTCTGAATGTAGTGCCTTAAAACCTGCGAACAATTTTTCTGTCAAAAGTAAGCCAATTTTCAAGATACCTACAGAAGATCTAAATAAAATGCCAGTTACAATAGAATCATTGGTAACTTTGAATTGTTTTCAAACGCCCTTTTACTAAAGCCTGCCCTTTGATCGTTCCTTCGAATCGTTTTTCCCTTTCGAATTCTTAGCAACCCACCCCTGACAAAAATCAAAAGTTGGCCTCTATGTTACAGGTTTGGTTTGATTTGTAGAGTTGCTTAAAGACTAATTGCAGATAGATTTGGAATTTTCAACTATATCTTATCGGGAATGCCTCAAAATAATGAGTGACATTTCTTTATAAAAACCTCTATGTCAAAACAACAGAAAATCGAGATAGGGTATTTCAGCCACATGTCCAAAAAGATATCTTAATTCAACATTATTTTAAGCTGTTTGCTTCTTTCTCGATTTTAGTTTTTTCATCGACACCTTTCAAAAAATGTAGCTATTGTAGGGGCAAAGATAAGTGGGATATCAGAATTATCCTGGCTTGTTTAAACTAAACTCTTTAAAAGTAATAATTTCAGGTCAGGATGCACAGGAAATGTTCCTTATTGATTTCCTTGAACCTTGCACTTGTCCAAGCTCAATAAATGCATTGAAAATGCCATTCCAGTGATTTTTTTTTTAAATTCAGTTAGGTCACAAAACTGATTTTTCATGCCATTCAGACAGCTGTTAAAACCATCGTTGAGTTTGCTCATATGTTCATTTGCTCATTTGCTCATTGAGTTTGCTCATTTGCTGATATGTTCCTTCGTCTCTAAAGCCACATGATCAAGAAATCGACTCGGTCAGACGAAAGGCTACTCTTAGGTGTCTAATTGCGGCTACCCTCACCAAGGAGCTTGTAAATTTCTTTATTACTTAAAATCTGATTCATTAATACCTCAGCGACGACTGTGAACTTTTCTTGTGTGAAGCCATCATTATTATTATGATCCTCCAAAGGAGTTTTGAATACAATTCAATTCAACTGCTGTTACCAAAGAAACCAAACCAAAAGCGTCGTTCAACAACATGGCGAAAGGAGGCAAGGAACCCGCAACAGTGAACTTCGTCCATCAAAATGATATATTGTGCGAAACTATAAGAAAAGAGCAGAAGAACCAGAAACTTTATACTAGCTACAGTATAAACCCGTTTAAGAAAAGTAAGTGAAACTTAGCTAGTGTGTTAATTTTTGAAACACCCATGAAAAGATGGCGGCCAAAAAAACATTTACCCGGTTATATTGTCTAAATCAATGGCTGGAATTATTAACAGTCTTAGGGAACTCGAGGGAACTAATTACCAATAGAGTTTTTACGCAGATAATGAAGCTTTTATCGTTACAATAGACAAAGGTTCTACTTAGACCTCTAATTTATTAGTCTACAATCATTTTGTTGTTTACTCCTGCATATTGTCAGGCCTATAAGTCGCTCTCAACAGGAAAACGACGGTTGTGGGCAACAAAGTGACAAATTATTGTTATCGGCAACCACAGTAATCATTTTTCATTTATACAACTTGTCAAGAAAAGTTGTTTAGCTCCCAAACCAGGAGTCTTTGGAGTTCGGAAACAAGAATAAAGACATGGAAGGTTTAATATCTTATATATTCTAAGTTGATATACGATATCTTATAACTATTACATGTTTATATGCATTATATTCATTTCGTAATGTATTGTGAAAGATATTTTAAAATTGCTTATTTTCATGTAGTGTACACATTGACTGGAAAACCAAATTCTACACACGACTCAGCTGATGGAGAAGAAGATGGTAATTAAGAATTTCAATAATTATAATTGAACAATATATTTCATTGTCAACAAGCTTTGTTAATGTTACAATTGCCTTCTTCAACCTACAGAACTAGTTTTTATCCATTTTGACACAGATTAGGATTATTTTTGATTCGATTTTTCCATAATGTGTATTATCTTGTTTTATCATGCAACTTTATCTTTTACCTGTAAATAATAAAACATTTGTGCAAAGCATACCTGATATCATCAATGAAGAGATGCCTAGGATTTGCACATATTATAAGTTGAAAGTGAAAATGTTTCTCAGATACACAATTCAATACTATACACTCCACCTGAAACAAGTAAATTACTGTTCCAGATATAGTGACCAAGAAAGAAGGGCCATAGATATAGGAGGCATGTGGGTCCAACACACACTTTGAAAAAATTATGTTGAAAAACAATGAGTTTACTGCAATGTAGGGGTATCTAGCTATCAAAATTTCAACCTTGTTGGAAAATACTGGATGGCTTACCTACTTTGTTAGCAAATGAGACCAGGACACCCCTCTTGAGCACAATAGCTAGCAATGGCCCTGCATTATAGTATCTGTAAGAATATTTTAGCTTAATGCAGTAAATAATCTAAGCCAAGTGCCACTAAATGAGGCTTGGAATAATGCCTTACAAGAAGTTTTTCAATCTGACAGATGCATTTCTAAAAGTCATCAAAAGAGCCCATGAGACCCCTGTTGAAAAATTTGAATTTCCACAAACTGAAGCGCAAGAGATTGGCTGGATGACAAAACCATTGGTAAGTAAGCTTTAGTAGGCAATACATTGAATAATAACCTTAATTTTGACTAAGCAATTTGCCTTAATTCTGTTAGTATCAATTTATTCGTCCATTTTTAAAAATACCTCAGCTTTTAGGCAATTTTTGCTACAGGAATACATTGATTTTGCTGAAGCCCAAAACTGTGGAAAATTTGAAGTTCTGTATTATTCTTAAATCATTCTTCTGAAGAGATTTTAAATTGTTGCCACTGTTTTTCTTTGCAACAAAAAATTTTAGGAAATGAAACCTTCTAACACATATACAAGCTTACGTAAGTCAGAACAAATAATGAAAGCAGAAGGCAAAAATATGAGAAAGTGCAATGTGTGTTTGTAGTTTGCCATTGCCCCACATAGCTACTTACAAAAAAACATGGTCTGCCCTCTGATCTAATTATCTGATACAAAATCCTAACAAAACAAAGTAATAAAAAAATTAGCTGGTCCCCATCCCAATAAGACATATTTTCTTTGCATAGCCTATGTTGCATTGTCGGAAGCAAAATATGTGAACAATCATAGAGACATTGAGAGAATTTTTCAGTCAATTGACTTGTCAACTTGTAGCAATGCAAAGTTCCATTTGTCTACTCTTTGGTGCTTAATAGATGCCCCACCCCCTGCTAATTAATTTTTTTATTTTTTCCACCCAGGACATTCTTATTCCAACTCCCCCGGCTATTAAATTTTTGAAATAGAATATCTGATATTTTCTGTTTTATTACAGTTTCTGTGATATTCTATAAGAAAATTTACATTTAAATAATTATTGCTTCTCTCCATCCCCTGGCTATTAAGTATTAAGTTTCTGGGAATTTTCCAAACCAACCCCCCCCCCTCAGGCTATTCCACCCCATCCACTTATTATGTTTTGGAGATTTTTCCAACTCCCCTGCTTATTCCAACCCCCTTTCTATTAGGTACCAAAGAGCACATGAAGCAACCATCTATTTAGCCTCATTAACTGTAAAATTGTTTTGCAGATTGATGGACAAAGAAGTGATCCAAGGTTGCACCATCCCAGGCAACATAGTGAAATAACAACTTATATGGATGCATATTGGAGACAGAAAGAACAATCTGAAAATCTTAACTGAAGCAAATGTCTTAAATAAACAAGATACCTAGTCTTTGTATATATTATGTATTTTTCTTCAAATTTTGGAAGTTTTAGTTTTACATGTTCCTTATTTTTCATCAATATCTGTTTGAAATTTATACAATAGCAAATCTGATGTGAGTTCTACACATGACTGAATTCTAAAACAGCAGATTTGCTTGAATAATCAGCAAATTATGATTTGTCTCAACTACTTATCATGTCTAGATAAAATAAAACTCTGGTAACCCTTGAAGACCATAAGTCCAACTCCTTCTAATCAAAACATTTCTGGGCACACAAAGAGGCAGACCATTTGAGTGAGGCCATGATAACATTTGATCCCCTCAAGGCTCTCATCTAATGCTGGAGAGAAGTTACAGATTGCTCTCTCAGATTTTTTAAAAAGTGAATGCTATCCTTGAAATTAATGTTTCCTGTGACTCTTTTCTTATTCATTCACAAATAGCTCGCTTGGAAATTACTAGGAGAGCTGTTTGCTGCTACTATGCTAAAAGTCTTATGGCCAGGCCTGTACATCACCATTTTCCCAACTGGTTGCAGACATAGCTGTCTCTTGATTTTTGCATATTTGTTTGACCTTTCATGCCCATATGCCAACTCATATAAAATGCCACCAAACAAGAAAGAACAGAATATAGTTCAAAGAGGACAAATCCAATTATTTTAAGCTTTTTGTATGAATTAAGAAAACAACGGTTAAAATGAAAATGTTCTCTAATACAGTATCTTCTTTGTTGTCATGATCTTTAGAGAAAACTTAGAATTATAAAATATTTTTTTCCACTCAGATGTCTGGATGCAGAATCCATCTAACTAAAAAAGGCTTTATAGGTTAATTTCATTCTTTTACAAGTTTGTAGATCTTTTGACAATAATTCTTAAAAAGATGTTTGCATGTTTTTTTATTTGTTATATGATTCAATATATCATTACATCTCATTGAACCATAAATAAACAATTTTGCTTGGTTTACTTGTTATCTTTTCTTTGACTTGACTTGATTTCGTCTTGATTTTCCCATTCTTTTTGGCTTTCCCTAGCAGAATAACAGATAAAGTATACAAGTAGAAAAGTGAACAACTGAAACAATCATGAATGGAAAACTATATCTACTATTATCCCAACTAAATAAAAGACCGGTTTTAAAAGTAGACATCTGAGAGATAAATGAAAATTCTAGAACATAAATTTTAAAAGTAGATAACTGAAAGAAAAAATTAAAATGTCTACAAGTATCATTCAGTGTCCAGATGATGTAAAAATATTGAAAACTTTTGATGTAGATGCACAAGTAAACTTAGCAACTAAGTCTGACTGTGGTCACCACATGTTTCTAAAAAATCCACAACACTGAAAAACCAGAAAATGGGTCTTAATTCTATAATCTCACGAGTAATTTAAAATACTTCTTGGATGTTCTTGTTTTCACAAACAATACAAAAAATTAAAACCATACTTTGTTCTTGTTTCTTGGAGCTTTACTATGAACAGATGGTTTGAAACCACTCATATCTCCTGAAGACTTTGAACTGTTCATCTTTGCCTGTTTCTTTTTGCCACCAAATCCAAACTTGGCATCCTATATCATAATTCATATTGTTAGAAAGATAAATAAACACTTACTATAAGAATTCAATACTTCATTTTGACAAACAAAATTTTCCTCTGTTTTCATTCAGTAGTTAATTTTACTTTTTCCTTTGCATACTTTGTATTTTACTCAAAAAGCTAAGTTAACTGGCAAACATAAGTTAACTGTTATTTCATAATATTTCCTGTGATAAAGAAGAAAAATCTAGATGATGAACATTCAACAATAAAGATCAAACAAGAGACAAACAAGGGTCAAGGCTTCAAGATTAGAAAATGAAATCAAAGGGAAGTTCTATGTATAGGAAAACTATCTGTCAGGGGCACTTAACAGATAAATTGAAGAATGGGAAGATAGTCCTTTTGGTTCAATATCTGCAAATGACTTTAGAGAGACTCAATCATTTGTAGTCTCTATACAACCAAGAAGGAAACACTGGGACTGCAAATTTTAGAAACAAATTGAGGCTGAAGAAAAACTTCTTTGATTGACCATAATGTATCAACATTCACAAAATTGATTAGAAGGTTTGCTAAAGGGCTATTGTTTGGAGACTGATATCTTGTTTTGGTTTTCCTATTTGCACCTTAGTTGTGATATTATCTTAGTTTTGTGGTAGGTTACTTTGACACAGAGAGATGAATTCTTGCAGGCATTGTTTCCCTAGTGGGAATGAAGACTCACTAAAATCTTTATTCATGGTCTAAGGCTAATATAAAACCTTAAACTTCAAGTATTCATTGACATGTTAAATTCAAACCAAATATCTGGAAAAAATGAAACAAGTTGGATAAAGCAAATCTTACTTTTCTCTTTCTTTTGAGTGATTTCCTGTTGTAGAGAAAAATATTGACTTAGAAAGACGCATACAGCTTAAACTTCATGAATAACAGCATATGTTATAAGAAAGAACAATAAAAAATAAAAACTTTTATCTTCTTTTTTTGTATCTTCATTTTTTCTATTTTTATCTTCACTTGGGTCTTCAATAAGCATGATTTCCAATTAAACTACATTTATTTTTATATTGTTATGATATTATGTTAAGGGGATTTTTCTTCTGCAAAAATCAATGGTGCAAATCAAGGTCCTAAAATAGTCTTGCATGCTATTCCTTCATTCAACAGTTCTTTCGTTTATGTTTTATTTTCAAGTCTTAGCATTTGCTTACACCACCTTATTGTCGCTCATTCTAATTATGAAGCTTTTCATTCTGATTTTCTCTCCCCGAATGATATTGAACAATGATTTCATTTCCACTGTATGTTTTTTTGGTTTGTATTTGTTTCTAACTATCACCCAAAAGTCACTGTGAAGGAATGCTTATTGAGCAGTGCCCTGGTCTGTGACCCTAAGCCATCAACTTATTTTTCTATATATTTATTTTTACATACTCTGAATCACCTTGAACTCTAGTTATCAATCCCGCATTGCACCTTGAAAGCTTAGCTAACTTGGAAATAACATTAAGAAAACATGAAACAAGGGTGAAAACAATTTCATCAACCAAAACTTACTCTGGTCTAACTTTGGTGTTATCTGTTTTAATGTCAAACAAATCACTGCCATCACCTTTGAGTTTGTCTTTACCTTTAAAATGGTTAAAGTTGATATGAGTTTGTGGAACATTTATTTGAAAGAATGGTTTTTTGAAAATTTTAGAATGAGTCAAATTTGATGATAATGTCATTACAACAACAGTTTTAGAAAGAAAAAAGTTTGGACATACAAAAAATAAAATATCTCATCAGAAACTAGTGGCTGAAACAGAAAACAAGTACACAACGTCAAGATATCTAAACAAAGACCTATAACTAACACAAAATTTCACTGCTCAGCAAAGAAATTATGGATTTAAGTTATATCTAAAAGATTCTTCTAACAGACATACTTTACATTTTCTTTGAATATAGCATTGTCTACTTTATTACGTTAGAAAAAAATTATTTTGAAAAAAGCATTTCCTACCTTTTTTAATTCTATCAACAGCTTCCAACATTTGTTTTCTCTCCTGTTGCCTTTTTTGCAGAACCTCTTGCTGTACCTTAAATATGTGGGGGATACAGTTGCAAATATGTAGAAATCAGAAAGCAAATATGTAGAAATCAGAAAGCTAATATGTAGAAAAATAGGAATCATTGGCTTTTAATTAAATTATCTAGCCTGTGGGCAATGTGAATTATAAAATTTCTCATCCATCAAACTCTACCTTCAAAGTTCAATGTATTTGCTGTTATAAAAACTCCTGTGAAAAGACAATCCTTCAGTGAACAGAAAGTAACAACTACTTAGATAGATGCGTTCGTAGCACTGGAACAAGATCAGTTCAATTACCACATTACTTTTATTGTTTCCATACTGAGCAGCTACAAAATCACTTCAAATTCACTAAAGAAAGATTAATGAAGGACAGAAAAGGATTTATGAAAACAAAGGACCCTGGTTCAAGCCCAGGTCATGTCAGTTCCTCACATTTGTCTCAATCATGGTTTTTCACACATGTCTTGCACTAAGCAAAAAGCTCCTAAGAAGGCACTCCATTTCACATATCTATGAAAGATTTCCCTTTGCAAAAATTTGCGTTTTTTCTTAATGAAAATGTGTCAAATGATTTGCATTCAAACAATATCGATTGATTTTCAAATATCATTACATTGTTACATGATTTAACTCTCAAATTGTTTTCACATGTCTGCATTTTCTATGCATAAAAATAATGTTTTCATTCAAAAAGGTATTCTCGTAGAAGTGGCCTTAAAAGGAACTGGATACAGAGTCTAGTTCTCAAAAAATTAGTGGTATAAATTCTTGTATAAATTTCATACACCAAAATATTTCAGTTCATTGAGAAGATTGTTCAAGTTTTATCAACATTAATCTCAAACAATATATTGCTGTGGGGCAATTTTGTTCTAGATTTTAAGGCGCTCATTATATCGGTCTTCGTGGCTATTTTTAGGTGCACTTTAGGCACTCGCGCTCGATCAAGCATTTTTCTGGGCAAGGCCTGGTCACAAAAAAATTTAAGGTCCATTGACACTGTGGTAAAACGGTTCCCCAAAATATACTCTTAGAAGACCTGCACATAATGTATAAAAAAAACTAAAACCTTTTAAGTTGATAAAAAAATCTTATGCAAGATCTGCATTTATAGTTCATCCAAGTTATATCATTGACTTTCATGAAAAACTTCTAGACAATATTCATGCCTTTGGCACATTTTGTCGGAAATATAAACTAAAATTTTGATGCTTTTCTTTTTAATCATACTATCAAGTTAATCCAAAAAAAATTTCCCATTCACCTTTTTTCCAAACTGCTTCATGCGCCTAATTTTCTTTGCTTTTTCTGCATTTTCGCGGTTTTGCTTTTCATTAGCAAGCTTTTCTCTAATCTGAAACAAAATAAAGTAAAAATATATTTATGGAATAAATGAACATATAATCCAGTTTATTTAACAAAAATAGCAAGATCAAACTCTTTGAATTAAGTGTTTTCAAACAACTGACCATGATAAAAATCTAAAAAACCATTATCCAGTGAAACCTTTATGTAGATGCTTGGCTGACAAGAGATACTGCCCATTGTGGAAAAGTATTCAAATTGCCTCTGGAAAGCTTTCAGCTGTTTGGAGGCATGTTTTAATGGAAAATGACTGCTAATGAAGGTTTTACTGCATACTTAAACTGGGTTTTGAAGGTTTCTAGGATGCTAACATAATTTGATATTTCTAGGTCAACATTGTATGTCTGCCAGCAGTGGTGTGGGTTGGATAAAATCATAAGGGGGGGCAAGAAATTTAGATTTCCTGACAAAAGTTTAACAAAGCGAAGTGCCATAAATCATACTACTTGAAGATTTTCTGGTCTTCTTCTTAAACAAAGGCATTTTAAGTACCATGGCACCATAGAGTAGACAACTCCTCCCTAGTTCTCTGCAGGATCAATTTTGTATTTTGTCTAGAACATGGATTAGAAAATGTTGGGGGAGGGGTAATACTTTGACAACATATGCTTTTTGTGATGTGATGATTTTCAAACTGCCTTTAGGTAACCAAAAGTTAGTAAATGGGGTTTGCTCCCTCTTACCCCTTCTATCTATGCCACAGTCTGCCAGCAAGTCTAAACAATACTTTCCAACAAACCTTGTGCATATGTGCATCTGTCTTAATCATTTCTGCAAAATAATCATCTGGACGTTCAGTTGGCAAACCAAGATTATTGAGCTTCTCCATAGCTTCCTTGGCGGCCACCTGAGCTTGACAGTAGCTAGAGATACAAAGGTTAAATAAGGTCAAATAATGTACTGAACATTTCCTGGTATGGGTTTGATATGAAAAGCAATACACTGAAAAAATGATAGTTATATTTTACCACTATACTTACAAAATACTAACAACAACACTACAAACCAGATAGTTGTTGCCTGTAGTGAATATACCATAAATGACTGGATACAAACCTATGCTGCCTATTCAGCAGGAGACTTATTCTGGAAAGTAGATTTTGGCCACTATCATTTGGTCATCAAAATTTTGTCATTCATTTTAATTGAACATAAAAAATGATAATGAAACACTTATTTTTGAAACACAATTCTGACTATTTGCACCACTGTTTTTAAAGCTATTTGTCTGAACACATTATTGGTTATTGGGCAGCAGCACATACCAAAATAATTTACTCTGACCCCAGGGCACTTTTTTACCACATAGAATAGAATCTGACATGCTGTCTAGAGAAAAGGTTTGTTTCAAGTATGATATGGGAACATAGATCTTGCACACAAATGGTGAATATGAGTTTAGTATATACCATAGAAATCAAATTTACAAACACTTTCATCTTATCATTAAATCCTGCTATAATGAAATTTGAATAAAAATTAACACCATGGCCTCTCTATTCAAATGATAAGTAACATTGTCATATAAAGCCATCAGTATTTTAAATAAGGCACCCAAAATTTTACTTACAAATGCATTTCTCTCTTGAAATCATCATGAACAGTCCCTTTAGATAGCAAAGTTGATGCTTTGCCATCTTTACTTTGTTCACCATCAGGTACTGGAACACTAAGGTCATCCATCTTACACACCATATCTAGCCTCTCTACCCACTCACCACTGTATATTATATCTGAGAGTCTTTCTTCCAAGGCTTTCTAAATGATTGAAAAATATTTACCACATGATTATTCACAATAAACAGAAATTATTAGAGGAAAATTTCAACACATAGTAATAGCAGTACTCTTGAAACCCATACATTTTTATCCATACACCAAAATATTATCCAGGGCTCTAGTCACTGGTTGAACAAAACAAGTTGTTAACATATCATTCAATATTATTAGAGAAAATGTGACGACATGAGCATTTCATAACCCTTTCACTTACAACATTATTACGGTGAATCTTTTTTGTCTTCGTAGCATCTTCAGTTTCATCCTAGAAGTAATCAGATTGTGTTAATTAGCACTGTTGTTAATTAGACCTGCATGGTTTTGCATTATTATCAACTATTCAAGCATCACCCTTGAACTTTAAAGCTTTCAAAGGGACTGGATAAGATGTAAGTAAACAATGCACAGCACAGGTTGTCCCACACTTGATTCGGAACTAGTGAGAATCTTGAAATGGCAGATTTCAGACATGCTGAAAGTTACATTCCTGGCAATTCATTGATGGATTATTCTGAAAGTGCAAAAAGTGACAGTACTTTTTCTGGTCCAGAAGTGGTGAGTAAAAATAAAAATACAATTCACATGTGAAAATCACAAATACATTTAAGGGCTCCATTGACAAAATTGATCTTTCACCCTAAGATCAAAACAAACATTCTGCTTAGCATCCTGCTGGCAAATCTCTTATCCAGCCCCTTTAATCTCCAATATTTGACAGCTGAGTAAGGAGCTTTAAAAAAACTAGTTATTTGCCAGTAAAACTTTACCCATTCGAAACAATGAAACATAATGCTTATCAGGTACATAATGATAGTATTAACTCTTGCCCTCATCCTGGCCTTAGAGCCAAAATAAACTTGAAAATGCACTTCTGTAAATTAGCCATCCAGTAAACCTTTTAAGGTACCTAATTTAATTCAGTTTAATATTCAGTTTCATTCAGGATGGAATCATGTCAAGCTCATACCAAATAAATGCCAATAAACAATAGAAATACAATGGGTAATCATTGGTCCATGCCAAATATCTATGGCGTAAGCTACATGGATTCCACAACTGGAGTATATACATCAACCAATCCTAAAGACAATGCTACATAATTACCCTTGTTGATTCTAAAGAGTCGTGTTTATATTTTTACACTTATTTATTCTTACCTTACTTTTAACACAGTCATAGCAGGATTAGTGCACAGCATTTGTGACTAATCTTGTATGTTCTTTAGCTTATCCGAGCGCACATTGCTATTCAGATACAGGCCAAACTAGGTTATTTGAATGCTACAACCACGAAGACAGGTCAGAAGAATCCAGCAAGCTTTTAGAGCCACTTTAGGGCTCAACACATACATCAATATATCGCTATAATTTCTACCATCTATCGTTTTGCAAGTGTCATTGTTAAATCTACCTTCGGTGCAAGCGTACACTAAAGTAAGTCATTTACATTTTCTTTATTGCCTTATTTTGGTACGTTTTATCTACTCATTTCGCCAGCCTTTAAGCAGTTATTTTTTTGCCTACACATATTGCAGTTAGTTGCCATTTCATACCATTTCATTTCAAACCTTCTGTATTGAGTTTCTTGCTATTATCATGTCCTTATTATTTGTAATAGATTGAACATAATTGATTCTATTTCATGTTGCAACTTAATTGTGTATTCATTTTTTGTCTACTCATATCACAGTTTGTTGCCATTTCATACCATTTCATTTCATATCTTCTGTATTGAGTTTCTTGCTATTATCATTTCCTCATTATTTGTAATAGATTGAACATAATTGATTCTATTTCATGTTGCAACTTAATTGTGTATTCATTTTTTGTCTACTCATATCACAGTTTGTTGCCATTTCATACCATTTCATTTCATATCTTCTGCATTGAGTTTCTTGCTATTATCATGTCCTTATTATTTGTAATAGATTGAACATAATTGATTCTATTTCATGTTGCAACTTAGATTTTTTATGGTTGGTTACAACCCTGCCCTAAAAACTTACAAGATACCATACGATAAACACAAATGAATTAAAACTTAAAGATTATAGAAAAGAAGAACTTTACCCGATTGTTTTTAAGATTGATTGATTTAGGAGGAGCTCTCTAAACAGGCTAACTAATCAAGAGCGAGCCCCCTATAAAGCAAAAATAAAATTACAATATATTCCATTGACGTTAGCCAGATTTGTTCTACAGAGACTGAAATAATACAAGGATCTTAAAGTACGAGTCAATGAGTTGTCAATTTGATCCTAAAAACTGGAACGGTGCTGCCAGCACACATGAAAAGTGGAAGAGTATTCCAAAGTTTAGTGCTAAAAGATTAAATCATTTGAAGATCATAAATGATATTTAGCTGTCCTCACGACAAATCATTAACAAACCTCTGATTCACTCTTAAATGATTCAATATCGCTTTCTTCAAAATCCATTCTGTTTTCTAAATTGATTCACCTTGGCTTCTTTATCTCGTGGTGATGTTCCTTTTGGAAAACATGTTGCTGCTGCCTCTTTTTGATAGCCTCGTAATAGCGGACCTATCGTGTATTTTTATTTCTACTGAAATATGGAAACTTCGCGTCTTGAATATATACCAGTTGAAGCCAGTGGTGGCGCCAGGGGTGGGCTAGGGGGGGCTACAGACCCTCCGTCGGAAGCATCTAGCCCCCCCATCGGAGGAAATTTCAGGTTATTGTCGGAGCAAATTTGACAAAATAACGTACGAAAACTGCTTATTTTAGTCATTTTAGCCCCCCTGTCGGAAGCTCCAGCCCCTCTGTCGGAAGATTTCTGAGGCCACCTCTGGTTGAAGCCATAATTACAAACTCTCTATTGCAACTGGCTAATGTGTAACTGGCGAGCCTGTTTTCATTCTGTGAGATGAATCTTGAATGTTAAAGTCCCGTTCGTATTGAAATTAATAAACTCTCGTGCAGTTTAAATGGTGCAGTTTCAATGGTGCAGTTTAAATGTGATGTTCATAAAAATGCATTTTTATTTCTATAGTAGTTTTTCATTCCCATCTTGAATTTTGAATAACTTTCCAAGAAAGATACAACTATTTACAATTTACGAGACTTTGTTTTTCTTTGCTCGACAAATATTTTCTTTGAAATTTGACGACACTAATCTTGTTGCTCTCGAATGTATTTCTCTTGTTTATTTGATTCGTTCTTGTAGAGATATACCGGACAGATCTTATTTATCCTCTAATACATCATATTTTGAATAATTCTCCAGTCTGTTATTTCAAAGGCCTACTGAACGGTTATAGACACTTGCAATTTTCTTAAGGTATTTGTAGCAGAACACCAAACCTCATCGCAGTGTGAGGTAAAATAAGGCATTGAGCAAAAGCTTTTTGGTCTCATTCGTAGAGAACGGCAGTGCTCGACGAATGACACATGATATTTTTGTTGAAGTGGCTGAGACAAAAGAAAGGCATGATTTCGATTATATGTTTAATAACATGATATACGATTCACAAGCGAATTCCACCCATGTTATTGGCCGAGCAGGCCTGTCCAATCGAATCATTCTCTGATGAAATGGGTGAAATTCCATTCACAATACGTAGCGTGACCAACCTCATTCAGCATGACAAGCACATCGAGGGCCTGGACACTACAAAAGCAAAGGATAATAATACTCCTAAATCCTTCTTTAGCTTGTTTTTCAGCTTACGAGCAGTAATTTTGGTGTGTTCTTTCCATAATGACATTGGATCGATGCATACATTAGGTACTTAGAGATACCTAAATATTGTAGCCCTTTTGATCTTGGTTTCGTTTATTGTCAGATAACCGCTTTTTACTAGCTTCAGAATTCTTTTATTAGCAAACAGTATGTACTATGTTTTCCCGAAGCTCAGCGTGAGCTTATTTGACGGGAGCTACCCAGATATTGATTCAATTTCAGCTTGGACATCTAGGTTTAAGGCTTCTGCTTGCAATCATCCAATCCCTCAATCACTAACGACTGTTTTGCATAATTCCTAAAGTTAGTAGAGTTCCAATTATTGTCAATCCATTTGAGCAAATCTTCTAATGTTTTATTATTCTTCAAAATTGCGTTTGTTAGTTCAAGATCATGAATCTTGAATCCTGTTAATGGGGATCTCCCCTCTAACTTGTTCTTTATATCTCCTGTTCTGACCATCTTCTTTGCTAGTTGATGTTCAACTGAGGAAATGAATTTTGTTCAGCTACTTATATAAAGTCAAACTGCTGACGTGATATTCGAACTGCTGACGTGATATTCGAATGTCTAAAAATAAAACTAGTTCTGATTGGTTGAAACTGACGTGATATTCGAATGGATGGCATGATGTTTGAAATGTTTTGAAAAGAGTATATAAGTAAGGTGATATAAGTGATATATAAGTTTTGAAAAGAGTATATATAAGTAAAGAGTAGTAGGTAAGGTGGTGGGCATACTAGCGCAGTTGGTGCTGCGAAGGAGGTTGCTGCGAAGGAGGCTGTGGTGGATGTCCCTGCGTAGTAGGATGGTATGCAGGAGAATGTGGCTGCGGAGGAGGCTGTGGATGTGGATGATGTCACTGTGGAGGAGGATGTCGTGTAGGATGATGAGGTGTTTTATTAGGAAAAGTTTGCACAAGTGTCTAATTTCTTGTCGGTCATAAGGGGCTCTCACATCAGCGACAAATTTGCATCCTCCAAAGCGCAAATGTCTAATTTCTTGTCGATGTCATAAGGGGCTCTCACATCAGCGACAAATTTGCATCCTCCAAAGCGCAAATGCAAAATTGCAAAAGAACCTCCAAAGCGAATGCGAACATTGCAACTATTAGCCCCCAGCTAATTCTATCTTCAAGGATGATATCATATATATCTGCAACTGTTTTAGAAAGTGGTTCATGTGTATCATCAAGTGTAGTTATCAAGCTTGTTAAAGTATCACCACAAATTGTATTTAAATCAGCAACTGCATTGGTAATTGCCAATACAGCCCTTGCTTCAATTGTGCTTTCATCATAAACATCACAATCCAAAACAATCTCCACAATATTCTCAATATTTGCATCAGTCATTGTTCAGCGTATATAGAACCGTCCACTGTAGAGCTTGGAATGCAATGAGGATCGCAACTCTATATATATATTATAGCAATCCAATTGCTGACGTGATAATCGAACTGCTGATGTGATAATCAAATCACAAACGTGATAATCGAATTGCTGATGCAATATTCGAACAGCTAAAAATAAAACTGATTCATGCAAATAGTAACCATACAGGCGCCTTATGCCACGCGTCCACCAGCACGGCGGTTCATAACAGTTTAATTCCCATATAAATCTGTTTTTACAGCACGTCTTCCTCGTAATGTTTTACGCACCCCCTCCATCGTTTACTTTTACATGCACCTAGTAGAAACGATGCATCATTTTCACTGGTTAACAGATGTATCATAAGAAAACAAGTCAATGATATAATAAGTAACTGTTTCATGATTAACAGATTAAATATTACAGAACAGCGATAATACAACTATTCAACTCTTTATATAACATTTTTTTACTCCTTGGGACACTTGTACTTTACCAACATAAAGTCAAAGTCAGAGTCCAAATACACTTCATGAAGGTCTTTTACTTCATATTAGGTACTTCTTGAGGGTATATTATCTCGCATTCACCAGTGCAATGGCCTTCGAGATATTCATCTTCTTTAAAGTTTACATAGAATGGTGTCATTTTCATCAATCTTGGGAGCTATTTCATTTGCCCACTTCAAACCATGACGATAGAACATGAGCGTTCCATGATCACCAAATTTATCATGTAATTTATTTTCAATGTCAGTTTTGAGATATTTCATCATCTTCTTTCTTGTTACTTTTTGAGGTTCCATGCAATCATCCAATCCCTCAATCACTAACGACTGTTTTGCATAATTCCTAAAGTTAGTAGAGTTCCAATTATTGTCAGTCCATTTGAGCAAATCTTCTAATGTTTTATTATTCTTCAAAATTGCGTTTGTTAGTTCAAGATCATGAATCTTGAATCCTGTTAATGGGGATCTCCCCTCTAACTTGTTCTTTATATCTCCTGTTCTGACCATCTTCTTTGCTAGTTGATGTTCAACTGAGGAAATGAATTTTGTTCAGCTACTTATATAGAGTCAAACTGCTGACGTGATATTCGAACTGCTGACGTGATATTCGAATGTCTAAAAATAAAACTAGTTCTGATTGGTTGAAACTGACGTGATATTCGAATGGATGGCATGATGTTTGAAATGTTTTGAAAATAGTATATAAGTAAGAATTAGGTTGAGGTGCTCAGATGAAAAGCAGGTTCAATCAAGAAGATTGTTAAGATGTGCAAATTCGCAGCAGTACTTGCAATTGGTCAGGACTTTATAGAAGAGAACACAAAAATGAAGGCATTGAATATAATTTAACACACAGTCTGATCTGGTACAATGGTGAATATTACACCTTCAATGAAAACTTTTCATATGATGAAATATGTGATGATAATAATCAAATATGGAAAGAGATGTTAGAAAAGTTGAACATATACATCCCACAATTTATCGCAATATAAAAATCAGGGACAACATTCTGTAGACGACCAACTGATTACCTTGGTGGGTTGTGCATAACAATAAGTCAGTTGTTGAAACCAGGCATCACATGGGAAGAACAGAGAAAATATTCACTGGAAAGAACAATAATTATAGATGACTTGATGCATAAAATTAGTAATTTAAAAGATATTGGGAAATTATTCACCAAGGGGAGATCACATTTAAATGTTAATGTAATTGTTTTGATGCAGAATTCATTTCCGAGAGGAACTGAGATGAGAAACCTTGCACTCAACACTCAATATCAAGTATTATTCAAGAATCCAAGAGATAGAAGTCAGATAAGATTTCTAGCGCAACAAACTATGCCTATATGCTCTAATACATTCTTGAACATTTATAATGATGCAACTGCGAGGTTATATGGGTATTTATTATGTGACTTCACGCAATCAATAGATGAAAGTTTACGGCTGCGAACAAACATATTCCCTAAGGAAGCTCCTATGATTGTCTTTAGACCAAAAAACTATAAATAGCATCACAATATGATTAAATCGAAGCGTTATTTATCACAATCTGAACAATGGGTGATTTTGAAAAATTAGTTATGATACAAATGGAGAAATGTAAAGTCGATCATAAGTTTAAAGGGTCAGGTAGTTATTAATTCCATTAAAGTAGATGGTAAGGTAAAGCTGTTAGATCTAATAAAGCAGATGGTAAAGCTGCTGGTTCCAAATCCAATAAAGCAAATGGCAAAGCTGAAGTAAAGAATAGAGGAAGAGCGAAAAATAAATCGATAAAAGGCCAATCAGTTAGAAGTGGAAAGAAGAATCGCATAGACAATGATGTTAAACGAGATCAGTTATTAGGGATGTTAATTGATTTGATATAATTATATAATCAAATGTAATCGTTGTATTATATATGTTGTTTTTCTTTCAATAAAATGGACATTCAAGCGTTATATTCAAACCCTGCAATCCCCGGATCTTTCGGTAGATTGGACCGTGCATATCGTGAATTTAAGAAGTTAATTCCAAAGTTAACAAGAAAAGATGTTCAAGAATGGAATAAGACAAGCCTAACATATTCTCTCCATAGACCAAGTATGAGAAAATTCAAACGTGAAAGGATAATGACGAATAACATTGATTATCTTTGGGAATGTGATCTAGTTGATATGGCACATCTGAAGAAAGAGAATGATAATACAACATTCTTATTAACATGCATTGACACGTTTAGTAAATATGCCTGGGTAATGCCTTTGAAACGGAAAACTTCAAGTGAAGTTATTAAAGCATTCAAAGAGATTATCGTTCACGGGAGAAAACCAAAAAGTTACGATCTGATAAAGGTAGTGAGTTTATAAACAAGGATTTCCAGCAATTATTAAAGAAGGAAAACAATACATTTTACACCGCAAACAATGAGGTTAAAGCTGCAATTGTTGAACGATTTAGCAAAACTTTGAAAGGACACATGTACCGCTATTTCACAGCAAAGAATTCATTACGATATATTGATAATCTTCAAGACATGCAACCCACACAAGAACGTGATTCGTGATTGGTAAAAATGGATGATGTTACTATAAACTATTTACTTAAGAGACGTGGAAAGCTTTTTAATTTCCATGGCGTGTTTGGAAAAGATGAGATAAAAAATATAAAGATTCACACCCTACCATGTTCATTCATTTTCAATGAGGATGATTTCACTGGTCGAGGGACACATTGGATTGCTGTTTATATTGATGAGGATAATACATTGGATTTTAATGATACTTTTGATGAAAAACCTAAAATGAAAGAGTTGAAAGATTTCATTAAACCATTCAACCTCAATTATAACAAGATTCAAATTCAATCAGATGAAAGTGCAGCGTGTGGGCAGCATTGCATATTCTTCTTAATTCACAGATCAAGAGACATGTCAATTACTTCCATAATAAATAAATATTTTAATGAAAATTGGTGAAATCAAACTTATTTGCATGCTCTTTCAATATTTTATTTACAGCATCTTGAGGCATTGGAATGTGGTAAATGAAGCTGTCAGTGTCCATGTAGCATAATTGCACATTTGGGAGGTTGGGTTTTGCAAAATTGTAATGGAAATCATACATCAAGATCTTGCTAATGTCCAGTATGCTAAAACCAACGTAAATGGGTTTGCGTAGTGTGACGGTTTTCTTCTTTTTCATCACAATAAGCGTGTTTTCGTTGATTTCAACAACCCCATAGAAAATGGGGTTTCGCACCCATCTTATTAATTGTTCTTTACCAGTGCATATTTCATATGTGCTGTGGTTTCTTACATTTTCCATTGTCTTCCCAAACACTGCATTATTCATTAGCTTGAAGAAGTCTTTCTCAAAATCATTCTTGGCGTTTGCTCTTTTCTGCGTGTTGAAATCAATGTAATCTTTCAACCAGGTGCTTTGTTTGAACTCCACAATGTTATGCACCTTTGTTACGACCAATCCGAGATTCAAGCACTGTCTCAATGCATCACCGTGAATGATGTACTCCTTCTTGTCATACAGGTTGGGTATGAGCTTTGGAGTTGTTTTGTATTTCTCATAGTTGAACAATTTCTGATGCATTTGGACTTGGAATTCTGACAGCATTTCCTCCTTGACTTTCAATCTCTCAGGTGCTAGAGGTAGATCTGAATGGGCATCATGCAGGTGTGTTGGATACTCCAAGTCAACTTTGAATATGTATCCAATGTCTTGATTGGGCTTTGACAATATTTCAGTAATGTTCACATTTCGTACATCGTCAAGCATTTTGAATCCTCCATATGGTAGTGGTTGTGACATTGCCCATCCATACAGGTTATTAGCATCGAGATACATAAGTGTGTTGTTTTTATCCGCCTTTGCATGTCGTTTGATTGCCACTGATATTCCGCCTCTTATTCCTTGCTCAACCATGAGATAGATGTCGCTCTTCTCCTTTGATAATAGTTGAAGCGAGACACCTGTTTTGAGGAGCATTGCGTCCCATGCTAATCCTGGAAGTGATATGTAGCATGCTGGATCCAGAGAGTAGGATTCGAGGCTTTGCCGTCTAAATGATTGGAAAACGTCTGTGAGTAGTAGGACATCTGTTGCCAAGTACAATTCATGATAGTCCTTAAATGTTTGACAGTTGAAGAATTCCCATACTCGCTTCGCATGTTCATATTCGTCATCAGTGATGTTGGTATCGTTCAGTTTACTATAGAAACAGTCTTTGGGCGGTAATGAAGTGTTTTGTAGTTTTGATGCATCATTCATCCAGTCATATGGATACACACCCTTTCTAGTTATCAGGTCAAACGCCTCCTCCACATGCTGAATTTCTATGTCACTTTGAGGTTGTTGAGAATTGCTCAATCTTTGTTGCAGATATTCCCTCACAGATTTAAATTCATCCTTTGGAAGGTTTCCTGCTAGCGTTGCTAAGCTAGAGCTAAGAAAGCTAAGTGAATCGATGTATTTGAGCCCTTCAATTTTTGCAGAGATGATCTTTTCTGTGCTTGTTGCAATTACTCGAGTGAATCGATTATCCAGATTCTGTAGAATGTGATGCATGTCATAACCTTTGAGGTTGTGGAAAACTATTGGAATCGTGTGGGTTTTGGCGATTATGTTTAAGTTGTTTAGATTGCAGTGACTACATGCGGCACCTCTATACTGTCCTGTGATGTGGCAGTGATCCTTTACCTTGCACAAATTTGCATCATTCATGTTAAAGGATGTGATGCAACAGTAACAATTGGTTGCTTCATTGTAGCTCTTTAACTGTTCATCGGTTAGCTCTGCCATTGGTACTGTTTTCTTGAATATTTCCCTTATTTTCCAGTTGAAGTAATCCATTTTTGAAAGGAATTGCTGTATACAATCTTCACCTGTGTACATCTCTACAGTGTGGGACCATTTAGTGTCTATCGATTCAATATAGAATGCATAACTTATTGGCACGTGCTCTTGGTATATTGCTGAACCATTTGAGATGTCTTTCAATATGCATTCGAAATCCGCATAAATGATGAATGGTAAAATCATCTTGTTCTTAAAGTTTTGGAATTTTAGTTCATTGTCCTCTGGGTATTTTACGGCTTGAATATACCCATTTGGTGTGCAAAAATCGGCATGTTTCTTCAACGTTGTTTCGTATTTGAAAGTGTTCAAACAAATGTCACAATAGAATCGCTTGCTATGATGTTTGTGCCCATTCTGTCCATAAAGTAATCTGCTCATGTTTTTAATCCATGTGTAGTGGACATCCCCGTTCTCGTTCTCTAGTAATAGCAGGCTCACGTGTTTGGCTTTCTTCTCTTTTGTAATTCTAAATGGTATGATGAGTGATTTCTTATACTTTTTACTCTTCTTACTGTTACCATCGTCGCCATCATCATCATCATCATCATCGTCATTCTCATAATCACCCTCACTATCATCGTCATACAACCCATATATGTTTATGGATATGTTGTTGCTCGTTTCAAACTTTGCCAGCATCGTTTCATTCCCGGGGTTTACAGGGAATTTTAGGCAGCTCGTGTCCAACTCGTGCTGGTATGGTTTATATTTCGTTACTCTCGCAGCATCCTTTTCTGTTGGATGTAGAGCTGCTAGGATTGACCACAGGAAGCACTTTTCATCTGTGTTTTGCACGTTAACAATTGCTTTTTTAGCAGCAATCCACTCAGGTGCTTTAAAAAACCCCGCTGAGATACCACCACCACCAGCCATTGGTCTATAATCAAACATTTTCACTTGCATCCTTCCAAATTTGTTGAAGACCCAACCACTTCCATTTTGAATAAATGTGTCAATGCTGTTATTCAAAGTTTCTCTGATTTGTGTTACTTGATCATCAATGTCATTTGGTGCATGTCTAAGGAGCCTGTAAACTTCTGTTCTAAATGTAATTGGTGGATCTGTGATTGTATCTTCTAACATTTTTTTGAACTCAACATCTAAGGATACATAGTATTTCACTCCTTGATAATAATTTTGGAGTGCTTCTGTGACATTGTCTATGATGTTTCTTGTAACATCTTGCATATTGTCTATATTTTCAATGTTTTTTATTGCATATCCTAGATTGTTTTGATCCACTGCTCCTGTTCTTGCATTTGACCTGACACCTCCGACAATTGTGTGATGCATTGTCCCCATATGATTCTGCAGATTTTGCACTCTGTCGAAGAACTCTAAGCAAATCCTGCATTGGTATTTGCCCTTCTTTGGGTTATCTTCAACACTACCCATTCCATCAGTTTGATAATTTAAACTTCTTTTCATCTCTACTCTTTTTTGATGCTTGCTCTTTGTAGTTCACAACCAGACTGATTTTTGCTGCTTGTGTGTCTACTTATATATCTTAGACATTCGAATATCACGTCAGCAGTGATGTTAAAATCAACCAATTAGAATGCAGTTTTAGTTTTGGATTTCTGCTATTAGCCAATCAGAATCCGTTTTATTTTTGGATGTTCGAATGTGACATCAACAATTCGATAATTGCGTCAACAATTCGAAATATCACATCAATTATTCGAAATACTGCGTCAGCAGTGATGTTAAAATCAACCAATTTGCTGAGAAAAAAATGCGTCCTTCGTGAATTTTGATAACTGCGAAAAGGGACGCGTTGCTTGTGTTTCAGTCTTTTAAAGCGGTGTATACGTGCTCGAGTTCTAGTATTCGAAACCAATCAGATTCCTCCATTATTATCATTTTTTGTGGGGCACATCATATTCACAAACGCTACATATTTCGAATTATGAATTCCAATATTCAACCAATCAGACTATTCAATAATTTACATTTTCATGCGAAGCCCGCCAATTCAAACAAACCAATCAGATTCCTCCATTATTAACATTTCTTGTGGGGCACATCATATTCACAAACGCTACATATTTCGAATTTCGAATTATGAATTCCAATATTCAACCAATCAGACTATTCAATAATTTACATTTTCATGCGAAGCCCGCTAATTCAAACAAACCAATCAGATTCCTCCATTATTAACATTTCTTGTGGGGCACATCATATTCACAAACGCTACATATTTCGAATTTCGAATTATGAATTCCAATATTCAACCAATCAGACTATTCAATAATTTACATTTTCATGCGAAGCCCGCCAATTCAAACAAACCAATCAGATTCCTCCATTATTAACATTTCTTGTGGGGCACATCATATTCACAAACGCTACATATTTCGAATTTCGAATTATGAATTCCAATATTCAACCAATCAGACTATTCAATAATTTACATTTTCATGTGAAGCCCGCCAATTCAAACAAACCAATCAGATCCGCCTATTATTCATATAGACTTGGTACATGTCGGAATAATCCATCTAAAAATTTGATGTAGTGGTATTTATTTAATTGTTATATGTTTTGGAATTAATCAGGAAATAAAAAATCTAATTGTTCCTAATTATTGGTTAATGTAGCAAACGCTCCCCGTGCACATCTTTAGACCTCATCAAGATGACTATTCAATACTCATGTGTACAAAGTCAATAGACTAAGGTCGGTACTAAGCATTGAACGGAGGATTGTAAGCACACCAACACAATAACCTAAGGTACCTGAAGCGACGTCTCTCGACACCCCTATACCTTACTTCAAAGTGTCGAGTCGTGGAGACCAGCCTATTTCACTTCAGGTGGGCAACAATTTAAAAAAAAATGCCTTAAAAAATACAAGCACTTAAAGCTATCGCATGTAATTAAAAAATCAGCTTTAAACAATAAGTAATTAATTAAAAACAAGTATAAGCATCTAAAACATCTTTATTTAATGAAATAGTGTTGAAAGTAAAAAAAATCACCTGTTATATTTGCTGAGAAAAAAATGCGTCCTTCGTCAAATTTGACAACTGCGAAAAGGGACCTGTTGCTTGTGTTTCAGTCTTTTAAAGCGGTGTACACGTGCTCGGGTTCTAATATTGGAAACCAATCAGATTCCTCCATTATTAACATTTCTTGTGGGGCATATCATATTCACAAACGCTACATATTTCGAATTTCGAATTATGAATTCCAATATTCAACCAATCAGACTATTCAATAATTTACATTTTCATGCGAAGCCCGCCCCAATCAGATTCCTCCTTATTAACATTTCTTGTGGGGCACATCCATATTCACAAACGCTACATAGTTTCGAAATTTCGAATTATGAATTCCAATATTTAACCCAATCAGACTATTCATCATAATTACATTTTCATGTTGAAAGCCCGCCATATTCAAAAACCAATCAGATCCGTCCATTATCATATATTATTTTACATATAGGTAATCAAATTCCCGATGCCAAATCTGGCATCGGGGCCATAAAAATTCATACTTAGGACTACTGCGCATGCGCAAAACGACATCTTTTTCAAATCTCGAAATATTCTCATCATCCCTTACACGACACCCTTCCTCCGCAGTGACATCCTCATCCGCAGTTCTCCTTCGCAGGAACTCATACGCAGGCTTACCATCCTGCTACGCAGCAACTCTCCGCAGTCTGCCTGCAGCAACTTCCTTGCAGCGCAACTGGTAGTTAGCCCCCATTACCTACTCTACAGTTCCACGCTTACCCTGCAATGCCTAAGTCTGTATCCATTGCTTCGTCGTCATCTTCAATGTGATGTATTCAGCAAAAATTTGGGACATTCGAACGCTTTATATCGACACGAAGTCAGAAGTTTCTCCCGGAGCTGCAAGCCATTGTATTTTGGTCAGACCGAGCCAGAAACTTGCTCGTTTTCCAAAACCATGTTTTTATGCTCTTCTAGTTCAAGGTTTGAAATGAACACTGTCATCAACCCGTCTCTTGAAAAACGGTCAACCCTCTCCATTGCTTTCCACATCACATCTCACTGCAACAAACCGATTTCAGGACACGAGATTTGATAAAACTTTGCTTTCTACTTGATTTTTCTTTCAGGATATCTGGAGAAATTGCTTTTTATATCTAGGATAGAAATTATCGAAATTAGAGCACCATGTTTCACAAGCCACAGAATCAGGGGCGGTGAGAGTTTCGGGGAAAGGGGGTTTGCCCCCCCCCCCCCCAAATGCTGCCCAACGTCTCAAGCTAAAAGAGGACATCTAACCTCTCCAAAAGTTCTCCTGTAAGTTAATCGGCACATTGCTCTGCAGAATCCTGAAACAGTACAGATTAATAAATCTGATTAGTTCATTTCATGGCAACTTCTTCCTGTGGGAACAAGCTGAAAACCTTTTTGGCAGAATGAAGTAATGTTTTTGCTATTTCCTAACCAGATTGGTCTTTGTGCCTATTTTCGATTATTCACATTGTTACACCATGCTTTACACCGTCTGCTGAACAGAGCTTAAGAAAATCAATTACAGCAAAATTGTTGAAAAATTTCGAAGTCGATGCAAGAATTTAACCTGATAAATAATCTTCAAGGTACGTCTTAATTTAATTAATCAGGTTAAGGCGAGTGCCTAAAAAGTACTCGAGAAAGTTCAACCATTTGGCTCGCATATTTGGTTACACTAGTGCACCTTCATGATAAGAATCTCTCTCTTAAATTTCGTGATGTTCATTAGACTTATTTTGTCATCCATAAATACTCCTATATCTCTTAACTTTTTTTCTTAGAGAGGCTTTTTTTCCATAATTGTTAAGTTCCTCCTGCCCTATGACTGTTGCCACTTCCCGGTTTTCTACATAACAGCTTTCTTATCCTCTTATGCCATTTGGTGCTGACAAACTGGGAGCCCGTTGGTGGATACGAAAAATGCTGCAATTGATGGGGAATAGAAGATGGGGGTGATGTCTTCTTAAAGTGCGGTTTTGCGAAGTATTTTCTTCAACAAATAACTTGAACACCTTTCAATGTGCTTCTTTCATGAAAATCGAGTATTTACGTTTATATCTACATATATACTTTACGGAAGGCAAATGTGTGTTCCGAGCAAAAAATCTCTTAAAGTACTTTGATTAAATAGTACTCTGATGCTCTATTTGTTACAGCATACCCTCACACTGATACAGCATATCCTTACACAAAGTTAATAAATTTTGAGGAATGGAAGCACTGTCACCTATATTCTTAGTTTCTTTCTGTGAAGCATGCCCTAAATTTCATTCGATGTTATAAAACTTTGGCCACAAAGAGCTGCAACTCTCTTCCTTGTGGGAAGCAAGCTGAAAAACCTCCTTTTGGCAGACATGAAGTACATTGTTTTGTATCCTAACCAAGAATTGGTCTGTTTGTGCCCTAATTATTGTCGACTTATTCTAATTGCTAATGAACCACTCATTCGATCATAATAGATAGAATGTCCAATTTTATGCTTTCGATGACAAGAAATTTTATTTTTTTCCACTAAAACTTTCTATCTTTTTGAATCGATCTGTTAACATTGGTGCAAGGGGAGACCAGATATAGCCGTGTTACGTAAAATGTTTTACTTGACACCAGGGGAACCAAAACAGCAGTAGATAAAGCCTGGGAGTGCCCTGGGTCTCAAGTAAAATTTGATAAAATAGGGGCCATTGAAGCTTATCAAAAATGGTGGTCAATTTAGAAAGGGATGTTATTTGAAGTCCCCAAAGGGGCAAAAACCACTTGTTTGACACCATTGCTTTTTTACACGTCTGCTGAACAGAGCTTAAGAAAATCCAATACAGAATTAATTTTGAATTTCGAAGGTCGATGCAAGAATTCTGAACCATGATAAAATAAGACTTCAAGGTACGGCTTAAGTTTAATTTAATCAGGTAGGTCGAGTGCTAAAAAGTACTGAGAAGTTCACACCATTGGCTGCATTATTATGGCTACACAGTGGCACTTCAGATTAAAGAATCTTTTCATCTCTTAAATTTGAACGTGATGTTCATTGACTATTTTTGTATCATGAAATAACTCCTATATCTTCCTTTAACTTTTTTCTTAGAGAGAGCTTTTTTTCAAATTGTTTAATCCTCCTGCCCTACCTGTTGCACTTCCGGTTTCTACAGTAAACATCTTTTCGTTATCCTCTTATGCCTAGTGGTGCTGACAAACTGGGAAGCCCGTATGTGATAGGGAAATGTGCAGATTGAGGGGAATAAAGCATGGGGGCTGAGTCTTCTAAAGTGCAGTGGTTTTTGGAAGTATTTTCTTCACATTGCTGCTTTGAATCTCTGAAAGCCAACCAATTCCTGCCGCCTCTGACTAACTTGGTGTGATAAATCAAGAAAACTTCTGGGGGTATAAAGATTTTCTGTCTGTGGGATAAGTGTATTTAAATCTTAAGAGTGAAGTCGTTTTCTGATCTTGTTAAAAGAGTTCCCGTATAATGGCTATATACACCTAAATAAACCTGAGGACATTCGTGCGCCGTTGGGAGCAGAGTCATTTTCTGTCTTGCAGCTTGGGGAATAAAGGACATCACCTATTTATATTCCCCAAGGTTGTTGAGGCAGTTTTTGTAGGAATGATACCCTGGGGACACATGCCTTGTCATTTGTCAATTTCAGTTTAAAACATCTTAGTGACTTATTGGATAGGTTAAGAAGCTGCCCAAAAGAACAAAGGCACTTCTGCTAAAGCAATTGGGCATGACGTATGAAACAAGACCATAGGAATGCAGCCTTTCATTGTTCCTTCGCACACGAGTTCACTGGACATCAATGCTAGAGATCCAACAAAACAGGTTTGGCTCAGTACGGCAGGCTCAACAAGAATGACAAAGACTTACGTACAGATGATTCATAACAAAGAGCAATGGGCATTTGTACATGAGTGAGTGTTTAACAGAGATACAATACAAGCGCATTGTATATTTTACTTATATAATAGATGTATATCATTGCGCAAAAAATAATTAACATCTTTGGAATGAATAGGCAATGTATATGGTGATGATATAATAACGCGATATATTCTCTTTTTTTCGATGGTTATTGATGATACAAAAATTAAATATTAATCTACTCCATGCAATGTCTGACTATATAATTTTCACCGATTCAAACAGATTCCGGTCATACGGTCGAAGTCCAACGGTTAGGCCATTAGAATTAAAGCAACAGAGGCCTAAACCCAGTC